CGGAGCAACAAAAACAGGGCATTTTCTCTGCAGCCGTACAACCTATCAAGCTCAAACTTTGCAGGCAGCATCATGGGGGCAGATTACAAGTGCGACTATAAGGACATTTGGATACATTGAAATTTGTGGTCGCCATCGGCCAATAAGCATTCAGCAGGCCATTTGACAGGCTTACCATTGACCAATCATGACGAAACTTGACTGGTGTCTATATCTAGCCACTTTCTAACAACCAGTCGAGGTTCAAAAGATTTGACCACTGGGGGGCGCTATTTCAAAAAATTTCATATTATTACATGTTATTACAATATTATTACAATTTTCACCTAGAACCTATTGTACTACCATGTGACAAACAATTTTGCCAATACATGTTCATTAAAAATCTGTATCGTTTTTTTGTAATAGATAAATGTTTCAAAACCCTACTTTTCGAACTAGTCTCTGATTTTGATCCAATTTTGTCAAAGTTTGTCTAGAACAATTCTGTGGCATCTCCATGTAAATAATTATCAAAAACATTTTGACTTTTCTTCTCAGGGTCATGTGGATTAATCACCAAATTCCTGCATATGTGGCATTGTTAGCTTGATTAGCTATAACTCATCAGTCATTGATCAGATCATGTTCAAACTTTGAGTATTTATACAAATTGAGATTCTAATGGAGCATGCCAAGTTTGGTCCAGATTGGCCTTTGGGGGTGCTTCAGCACTCAAAAACACTGAAAAATCAATAAAAATGCTATTACAATGTTATTACAAGGCCCACATATAAACAAATGGTGCCATGTGACTCAGTCCACTAAGATGAACAACTTTCTAATTACATGTTATGTCAAAAATTGCACTGCTTGTCTTTTATTTTGGATTATTCATTCAAAGATTTCACTATACAAAGACTTACTATACAAAGGCTTGAGGCTTTTCTAGGCCTAATATAATAAAAGCTTGAGGCCTTTTTAGGCCTAATGGGCGAAACCAAAACCTTGAGGCCTTTTTAGGCCTAATGGGCTAAACCTGCAGAAGGGCCCATGCTGCTGTTGCGTGCTTGAACCCGCTCATTGCCGCTCGCGGCTATATTTATTATTATTTTTCTGCCCTGAAACGGAACGCACAGCCCAAACCGTAAGTCCTAGAGACACCAAACTTGGTCAATAGGTAGTAGTCCCTCCCGCTACTCAGGCGCAAGAAATCAGCCCTGTCGGCCACAAGGGGGCGCTACAGCGAAGGCCAATGCGTCAGGGTCTATATCTCCTAAACCAGATTTTTGCCAGACAAGCCATATTTTTTTCCTGGTTCTATGGGTCCAAATAAACCTTTTGGCTATTTTGATTATTTAGCTCCGCCCACTTTGATTTTTGGCAATACTGCAAAATTTGCAAAACCTACTTTTGCGAACTAGTCCTACAATTTTTTCCCAATCCTCATCCATTTGGTGTCAAAAAATTCAGAAGAGTGTCCTGGTCAATAATTATCAAAAACATTTTAAGTTTTCCATACAACATGGCTGCCATATGCAAATGAACCCCTCTGGATAAATTCAAAGTAATTCAGAATTAATTGAAAAATCTGTAACTCAAGAATTCTTCAGCCAAAAAATTTCAAACTTCACAGGCCATGTCAGTAGCCCATTCTGAGGTAGCCATTCGATTTTTGTGCGCATAAGTAATTAGGGGGCGGAGCAACAAAAACAGGGCATTTTCTCTGCAGCCGTACAACCTATCAAGCTCAAACTTTGCAGGCAGCATCATGGGGGCAGATTACAAGTGCGACTATAAGGACATTTGGATACATTGAAATTTGTGGTCGCCATCGGCCAATAAGCATTCAGCAGGCCATTTGACAGGCTTACCATTGACCAATCATGACGAAACTTGACTGGTGTCTATATCTAGCCACTTTCTAACAACCAGTCGAGTTTCAAAAGATTTGACCACTGGGGGGCGCTATTTCAAAAAATTTCATATTATTACATGTTATTACAATATTATTACAATCTTCACCTACAGCCTATTGTATTACCATGTGACAAACAATTTTGCCACTACATGTTTATTAAAAATCTGTATCGTTTTTTTGTAATAGATAAATGTTTCAAAACCCTACTTTTCGAACTAGTCTCTGGATTTTGATCCAATTTTGTCAAAGTTTGTCTAGAACAATTCTGTGGCATCTCCATGTAAATAATTATCAAAAACATTTTGACTTTTCTTCTCAGGGTCATGTGGATTAATCACCAAATTCCTGCATATGTGGCATTGTTAGCTTGGTTAGCTATAACTCACCAGTCATTGATCAGATCATGTTCAAACTTTGAGGATTTATACAAATTGAGATTCTAATGGAGCACACCAAGTTTGGTCCAGATTGGCCTTTGGGGGTGCTTCAGCACTCAAAAACACTGAAAAATCAATAAAAATGCTATTACAATGTTATTACAAGGCCCACATATAAACAAATGGTGTCATGTGACTCAGTCCACTAAGATGAACAACTTTCTAATTACATGTTATGTCAAAAATTGTACTGCTTGTCTTTTATTTTGGATTATTCATTCAAAGATTTCACTATACAAAGACTTACTATACAAAGGCTTGAGGCTTTTCTAGGCTTAATATAATAAAAGCTTGAGGCCTTTTTAGGCCTAATGGGCGAAACCAAAACCTTGAGGCCTTTTTAGGCCTAATGGCCTAAACCAGAAGCTTGAGGCCTTTTTAGGCCTAATGGGCTAAACCTGCAGGAGGGCCCGTACTGCTGTTGCGTGCTTGAACCCGCTCATTGCCGCTTGCGGCTATATTTATTATTATTATTTTTCTGCCCTGAAACGGAACGCACAGCCCAAACCGTAAGTCCTAGAGAGGGGGCGCTATTGCGCAGGTCAACGCGTTTTGGCCTATAACTCCTAAAAAAAGATTTTTCCTAGACAAGACATATTTTTTCCTGGTTCCTTGGGTCCAACCAAACAACTTTGCCATTGGGACCATTTAGCTCCGCCCACTTAGATTTTGAGCTAATTTGCATAATATGCGAAACCTACTTTTGCGAACTAGTCCTACAATTTTTGCCCGATCCCCATGTAGTTGGTGTCAAAAAATTCAGAAGAGCCTGAAGGTCAATAATTATCAAAAACATTTTGACTTTTCTAAACAACATGGCTGCCATATACAAATGAACCCTTCTGGATAAATTCAAAATAATTCAGAATTAATTGAGAAATCTGTAACTCAAGAATCCTTCAGCCAAAAAAATTCAAACTTTACAGGCCATGTTAATACCCCATTCTGAGGTAGCCATTCGATTTTTGTGCGCATATGTAATTATGGGGCGGAGTTAATGCTACATGGCTGTTTCTCAGCATCCGTACATCCGATCTAGCTGAAACTTTGCAGATACCATCTGTTGGCCAGACTATAAGTGAATCCATAAGGACAATTTGATTCATTGAAGTATATGGTTGCCATCGGCCAATCAGCATTTAGCAGGCTTTTGACAGGCTTAACATTGACCAATCACCATGAAACTTAAATGATCTCTACATTTAGCCACTTTCTAACAGTCAACCAAGTTTCAAAAGATTTGGCCACTGGGGGGCGCTATTCATAAAAATTAACATATTATTACATATTATTACTCTTTTATTACAAGTTTACTTGAAAGTCCTTGTGTATCACATTAAATATGTTATTCCAAACAATTTTGCCAATGCATATTTATTACAAAACTGCATAGTTTTTTTGTAATCGGTAACTGTTTAAAAAGCCTACTTTTCGAACTAGTCCCTGGATTTTGATCCAATCTTTTTGAACTTGGTCTGGAAAAATTCTTTGGCATGTGTAGGTAAATAATTATCAAAAACATTTTGACTTTTCTACTCAGGGTCGTGTGGATCAATCAATTAATTACTGCGACCATGGCATTGTTAGCTTGATAAGCTATAACTCAACAGTCATTGGTCAGATCATGTCCAAACTTTAAGGACTTTTACATATTTGGACTATAATTGTGTTTGCCCAGTTTGGTCCAGATTGGCCTTTAGGGGGCGCACTGAAAAATCAATAAAAATGCTATTACAATGTTATTACATGGTCGACAGATAAACAAATGGTGCCATACGACTCAGATCAATCACCTAAACAACTTTCTAAGTGCATGTTCTGTCACAAATTATACTGTTTGTCTGGTATTTTGGCTTATTCATTTGAAGACTACATTATACGAAGGCTTATTATACAAAGGTCAAAAGGTCAATCTGACCAAAACTTGGTAAACATCTTTGGATATGGTCCCTGATCAAGAATCATACCATATTGTGGCCTTTTCACCAATTCTGACCCACTTTCACTGAGCTCCTCTACACCCTTAGGACCTCTTATGAGTGCATTGGGCTTCATTATGGCCTACATCAAATCAATGGCTTAAATATAGAATCATTCCACTGTGCAAGTGCAACTTCTTGGATGTTCTACAAAGCAGTGTAGATCAGTACATATGAATGCAAACCTATAATGTGTTTAAAACACCACTGCTTCTTGTTTATGGCAACTGAAGGCCTTTTGATGAGCTGACTTCCTATCAGTTCTGTTCACTCTGCCTATGAATAAGACCCATAGCTTGAGGCCTTTTTAGGCCTAATGGGCTAAACGAAAAGCTTGAGGCCTTTTTAGGCCTAATGGGCTAAACCAAAACCTTGAGGCCTTTTTAGGCCTAATTGGCTAAACCTGCAGTAGGGCCTGTACTGCTGTTGCATGCTTGAACCCGCTCATTGCCGCTCGCGGCTATATTTATTATTATTATTGTTAGAATTATCATTATTATGGCTAACATTATAACTGATGTTACTTCTACTGAGTAAATTCAGGTATAAAGAGTTAAACTCATGGATCATGACTCAACTGATATGCCAAAAAAGTATCTTAAGTTGAATTATTAATGCTTACAAAAGAAAACCTGTAATGTGTGTGTGTGTGCGTGTGCGCGTGCGCGTGTGTGTTATACTCACCCCTCAGTACGAGGCCACAGTAGATTAGGTCCGAGCACTATGGCAATATTACTTGGAGTCATCCTGTTTACAGCCTGCTGTTCTGACAAACATGCCAGAAACTGTACAAGGTATCTAAAGCAGGAAGGGAGAGGTTAAGAGTCCCAAAAACAAATTTACCCATTTTTCCCTTTACTCCAAATGTAATCAACAAACATAAGTTTGCTTCTCTAGCGTTATACTGGCAATCCAAGGCTAATGCAGCTAACAAGTAACGGATATATCCAGCCACCATTTTGGCATCGTGCAAACTGCAGATGTAAATCTTCATACACTTGCTTTAAACTGTGTCAAGTTGTTAAGAACTCTCAAATGAAAAAGGATGAGTTTGAACAAAATTCACACTGTTTTTTGCTATACAACATACTTTTTTGTATTTTTTCAGTATGGAAAAATACTCAGTAATACAGAGTTGGAATGTAACAGAATACTAGTATATAGAATGTAAGTATCAGTTCATGTTCAGTCCATGTTACACTTTGAAAAAAAGGCAGTATTCAGAATACAGTTACTCTTTATCCAACTTGCTAACTTTACCTTTTAGCTTGTTCTCATCTGACAAATTATTTCTGTCATTCAAGAAACCCATGCTCTCCATTGTAATTTGAAGACAAAGAATACAGTTATATGACTGACAAAAGATATTTGGCTCCCTAGCAGTAGCATTAGTTCTCTGGCTTTTTTCTGCACTAGACCAAAGGAATTAGCCAGCTAACAAAAAAAAGCACACTTTGTAGTTTTCCATACTGCTTAGTATCAAAAATCCATTTTTGCCCAATGTGGTTTTAACAATAAAACACGTTTGAGATAAGTGTGTGATATAGTTTTCTGATGAGATGTAAGCTTACAAAGGGAAAAATGTGTGAATTTAATGTTTGGCCAAACTGTCACTAATAATTTTGATGGAATTCAGCAGATGAGAGATACAGCAAAACATACCGGAGATTGTTGTAGTTTTCTGGGGGGAGTTTTTTCAATACTTCCCGCAACTGCTCCAATTTGCTGTCTAATTCTTTCTCTCTTAGAAGTCAAAGTTAGGGACACAGAATTATCAACTTATTTCACTCTTAAGAATTAAATGCATTGTTCAAATTAATTCTCACCAGAAAGGCCCTTACCCAGCTGCTCTGAACCAATCATTATACAGTTCAGACGTCATGAGAGGTTCTGGTAGTTCTCTCAGGTAAGACTTCAGAGCGCCTACAAAGGCATTCACAAACAGTTGACAGAAAATAAAAACAATAGGTCAAGCTTTTTTTTTACTTTTCAAAATGCCTGAACATTTTTGCTTCGACCAAAACAGTCATTTTTCACAGAATATTTTCATAATCAATTATAATCAGTTCTAGATTTCAAAATTGATATGATTTTTTTAATTGATATGAATTGATATGAACAGCTACAGATTGATGTTTTGATGTTTTTGTACTAACAACTTTGCAGGTATTTTTCTTACTTAATTGAGAAATAACTTCAAAAGAAGGCAAGCTGTGTGTACATGTGTGATACAGTTTATTTAATACTGGACCTGCTACTGCATGTGGGTCTGCGTTGAACTCAGTGTGATCCACTGTCCCTGAGTCCAAGCTGCTCTTCAGCTTCTTCACCACCGAGGCAGCTGCTGCCAGTCTGAACAAACCCTGGAGGGAGCCATGCAGTGTTAACAACAGGTCATGAAATGTAAAAAGAATCTATTTTGAGGGTTTGGGTACTGAGCTATGCATGTGCATGTGCGGGTGAGTACAAGCGTGCATATCTTGTGGTCAGTCAGCCAGTGCTAGTGTGGCTAAAAATATAAAGCTAGAGTGGACCGGAAGCATCACAAATGAGTCCTGCTAGTTTTGTTTCAGTATTGTAACATAACTCTATTCTTCTTTGAGACTATCTATGTGATGTTGATCTGCACATATAAAAAGACTAAATTATGGACCTGGAGTTGAATACCTCTGATCAAAGCTAATGATGGTAAGTTCAATTCACTTAAATGGACCTTTTTTAATTATCTGTTTAAATTGATCAAATGTCCAATCCAACACATTCATTTATGTGGCTGGAGTGGGGGGAGTTGCTGTGAAGCGGACCAACTCAATATATCAAATCATTAAAGCATACAACAGGTACAACATACAGTACTCTGCATAAGTCAGAGACCACCCTTTTGGTTATCCAATTTCTAGTCAATATTCTACCTCCACATTAACCCTCCCATCCTCCCAGTCTTAAAACCACCGAGTTATAGCTGTGCCCTCACAAAAAAGGTGTTCCCTAAGGTGCCACTGACATCCAAAGAATCAGACAAAAAACAGGACCTATGTGGAAAAAAATATATGGACATATAATGTATGTCATGACAAACACATTGCAATCCATGCTGAAATACATTCCAAACACTAAAATGTAGTTCAGAATAAATTGCCATATATATGCCACATATATTTTAAAATACATTTATTTTAAAATATATGCAGAAATATGACACACACACACACACACACACATTTTCTAAGCTGCTTATCCTTCTGGGTCACCAGGGGTACTGGAGTCTATCCCAGCGGTCATAGGGCAGAAGGCAGGATACACCCTAGACAGGTCACCAGTCCATCGCAGGGCAGACAGGCAGACATACAGTCGCAGAAATATTATGTGTATGTAAACGCATCTATCAAATACATTTGAAAATGTATAAAAACAGCCAAAATACTTTAAAGTCTAATGCACTTTACTGTTTGGAATAACTTTTGAAATGAATTTGTATTTCACTTTGTATATCATTTTGATTTTAAATATAATCAAATTAACTTTTAATATGGCAAAAGTAAGTGTTGAAGGCAATAATAAACTGTGAAAATACAGTTTGATGATTTGATATCTTGTTTATTTAAATACATTTTGTGTAAGTGCCAACTTACTGCACATGTACAATGGTTAATGAAATAAAGTACAATGCAAATAAATGTAACCTTTGAATAAATAATTTTATTGACTCTACCCCTCAGTGTAAATAAAATCAAAAAGCCTGATTGCCTTCATAAGGCTGCAGTGTTCTTTAGGATAGGCTCTTTTGAGTTTTTGGCTAATTTCCCGCTGAATGTGGCAGAAACCAACTTTTCTAACCGGTTCAACTGAGTGAGTGTGTTATATTGAGTCAAACATATTCAAGAATTGAGGACGTTCGGCACAATAACTTTTTTTCTTTGGGTTCAATGAGTCTTCAGTTCTAAGTCTCAGAATCTCTCTAGCAGAAAGTCCCTAGCATATACAAAGCACACATACCAGGAAGCTACAGGCTACAGACCATAGACAGAAACTATAAGCAAATTCAGAGAGATGCGCTATATTGTCAAAAGTATATCTCATAATTACTGAGTTCAGGTGTTTCATTGCTAACAGGTCAATAAAATCAAGCACTTAGCCATTCAGTCTCTTATAGAAAAATATTGGTGGTAGAATTAGTTCACCATCTTCGCCACAAAGCATTTCATGAAATTTCTGTTCTGTTAGATCTGCTGTAATGCACGCAGATCAGACAATTAAGGTGGTCAGGGGCCCCTAGGCTACACTTTGTACGTGCCCCAAACACACAAACATTGTATCCATTCACTACCAGACAGACAAGAGAAAATTATCCTACTGCATATGCTAGACTGAATAACGTCTCAGTTCAGATCCACCTCGAGTGAGAACATTACTCAATAACACAAATGGTCAAACTGCCGCAAGTTATGACAGATACACAAAAACCTCTTACTGCACAAGAAAGAAAAAACTGCCTACCTTTAGATTTTTTCTTTCTTGTTTTTCTTACAGAGAAGTAATTAGTCTGGTAAAATCATTCTCTTTTAACATCAGAGCCAGGTGATTCAGTCTACTTTGACCCATTGATGACATCAGTTTATTATTCACCAGCGCCAGTTCAGCACTCGTGTTGGTCACTGACAAAGTCATAAACAGTACAAGAAAGAAACAACTCTTGACATGTATTCACCATTTGCATGTTTTCTTTTTTTCCATCTGTTGGACCGCTAAATCAGAACCAGGAAATACCCAAGAAAACTACACAAACAAGTGGCTAACTGTGAACGGGCTAATAGCCATGCACACACCACCCACCACAAAACAGTTTTATCTGTCTGTCACTCCAACTCCAGTCTCTCAGCCAGAGCCAGTTTAGAGGAGCTGTTATGTCAAAAAACAGGACTGCAAAACACCAGAGGGTGCCTGCGAGCGAGTCCTCAATGAATTGGGGTGAATGGAGCTAAATGGCTAAAAACAAAAAGTTTAAATAGTTTCTAATCACTAGCCCAGATTTTAATTTTAGAAAGTAGAAGGATGTATTTCACTAAAAAGGCAAAGAAAACTTACCTGTATGTTGCTACAGCAAAAGGGTTTTGGGCAGCAGGACACCAGCATTACTGTTACTGATTCGCACTCACTGACGTCATGAACATACATGATTTTTTAAACTGAGTTCAAAAGCGCTCAAAAATAGAACGGCAGTGTTAAAATGTTTTCTGCTGTTCTGTGTTCAAGAAATGAATGTATTCCTTTATCTTAAAAATGTTTAAGCATTTACAAACTATGATCTTGTTCAAATGCTCCATCTTAATCCATTCATTTTGGTCTTGCTCAGGAGTGCCCTCTACCGTTTGAGCAACACAAAAGACATTACAGAGTGGTAATTCTCTTCTCTACAAGTTCTCTGCTTTCGGCGTGCTCTCATCTTTTTTATCCTCTATCCTCTGTTATTTGAGCATCTGTTACCAAAACAGTCTGTACTGCGGTGGGTTTCAGGTCAAAGTACTATAGAACAATTCTATTTTTTATCTTTCTGTCACTTCAACACCAGTCATTCGAATTTGTGCTCTCAGAAAGAAGTCTTTATCCTCTAAACAGGTTTTTTTTTTTTATCATAGAAAACAGGTTCAACTTCGGATTTCTGTCACTCCACCATCAATCAGTTAACTTTACTCTCACTGTTGTAAGTTTTTATAATCTATACTTGTGATAGTAGAGCACCTGTTAGTCGAATCGAACCTGCACTGGGGTGTCTGTATCTCTATAGCTATGCTACGTTAACTGGGAGGGAAGAGCCGGATAGCATTAGCTTGGCTTGCAGGCTTCAGCTCCAGACACCAGAGAACAGGTTTAGCTTTCTTTCCCTCTAACATCAGCCCCTCAACTTTGCCTCTTCAGAGCTGAGTCAGTATCGTCTAAACTTGTGTCAGTAAAGCTTTTGTTTACTGTTCTGTATTGAGCAGAGCTGGCAGCATGCTAGCTAACTAATGCTTACCAGTTACTCTCTCCTACTATGTCATTACGTTATGCCACCAAACGGTTCTGTGGCCCCGAGTACGGTTAGCTAACTGTGCCGAAAAAGAAGGGCTAACTGTACTTGGGGCCACAGAACCGTTTGGTGGCATAACGTAACGACGTAGCTTTTCGCTGATTGGTTCTATGTTTATGCTGGTATTGTGCTACCGCATCCTGCTGTGTTATTTCAAACTTCAAAACAAAAAAATAAGTTCTGTTTGTTCACACAGACAGCAAATAAATGAAAGCAGTGCACGATTTTAAACCTGCCATCCAGTAAACGTCAAAGCTTCAATCTAACACCAATTTCTAAATATTAAACAGTGCTGATAACCAGGAGAGAGTAACTGGTAAGCATTAGTTAGCTAGCATGCTGCCAGCTCTGCTCAATACAGAACAGTAAACAAAAGCTTTACTGACACAAGTTTAGATGATAATGACTCAGCTCTGAAGAGGCGAAGTTGTGTTTAGCCCTGCAGTGGAAAAGAGGCCAACATTGTCACATTGTCTCATTGTGCAACATTCGCATCTTTGTTCTGACATGATTCTGGGCCCATTTTTGCCCAGTATGCCTGCATCTGTTCATCAATTTAAGTCCAGCATGCTGGGTCCAAGCTATAAGAAGGGGGAGCTGCTGCCCTGTCAATGTCTCTTGCTTCACTCTTCTGCATTTTCTGTTAACCTTAGCACCACAGCAGCAGTTGGGGTTGTGGCAATTTCAGAAGTGGTATTTCAGAAGGATCTGCCCTGGTATCATGTTCTTCATTGTATTCAGTGGCGGGACCTGGCTTTTCATGATAGCAAATAGTGTAGTTTGCATCAAGCCTAGTATCTGAGCTAGCTGCGGCTAACCCTGTAAGCGCAACACACTGGCAGAAGCAAATGAACAGTGCTGTAAAACCTGCCAACAGGTAAAACTGACCTAAGAACCTTTCCAAACTAACCAGTACTGAACATTGTAATAGGCTAATGGGCACTCAACTTTTTTCTTCCAAAAAAAAAACAAAAAACAAAAAAAAACATTTTTTCTGGCCAATCAGTGGGCCCCAATCCCTGTGAGGGCTTGTGTGTTAATCCGCCCTGTGTGTGCAAACTCATAGAGCAGTGTGGCATTGGATGCTGAAGCATGTAGCCTGTAAAAATGGCCTATCCTATGTTGTATTACTTACTACAAAGTTCCAAACTTCATCTGGAAGCAACATCACCACAAGAACAGAGCGAGTGATGATGAATCAAACTTCACTATCTGGCAGTCTGATGGATGAAACTGGGTTCTGTGGATGTCACAAGAATTTTCCTACTGGAAAGCATAGTACCAACAGTAATGTTTGGTGGAGGATGGATTATGGTCTGGGGTTGTTTTTCAGGGTTTGGGCTTGGCCCCTTAGTTCCAGTGAAGGGTATTGTTAATGCTATAACACAAAATATTTTAGACAATTATATACTTCTGACTTCAGACCAGCAGTTTGGTGAAGGCTTTTTCCTATTCCAGCTTCACTGTGCCCCTGTGCACAAAGCAAGGTCCATAAAAACGTGGTTTGATGAGTTGGGTGTAGAAGACTTCCAGTGGCCTGAAAAGAGCCCTGACCTCAATCCCATTGAACCACTGAACACCTTTGGGATGAGGAGTAGGGACTAGGAGGAATCATCCAACATCAGTACCCAATCTAACAAACTTGACTGAAAGGCCATAAATAACCCACAGACACACTCCAAAACCTTGTGGAAAGCCTTCCCAGAAGAGAGGAGGCTGTTGTAGCCACAAAAGGGGGCTACTCTCTTCTTAGATGATCTTTTCAGTGCCATCAGTAGAAGAAAACATTGTGTAGTCATTTTCTGTCTAAAGCCCTTGATACAGTTGATCATTCCCTACTTTTAAAAGTCTACAAAATATTGGTTTTGACCACAGAGCTACCAACTGGATTAGTAATGATCTCTCCGATAAACAGCGATGTGTGGTCCCGGGACAAAGTAAATCAGAACTACTCCGAGTAAATAAGGGGGTCCCTCAAGGTTTGATCCTTGGACCAGTATTATTTAAAATCTCAAGTCAAGTCAAGTCAAAGTTTATTTATATAGCACCTTGTGTTATATAAACCAGGTGTTGTCACAAAGCAGCTTTACAGAAAAATCCGGGTCCAAGCCCCCATGAGCAAGTCAATGGCGACAGTGGCAAGGAAAACTCCCTAAGAGCAAGGGGAAGAAAGCTTCAGAGGAACCAAGACTCAAAAGGGGAAGCCATCCTCCTCTGGTCGACACCAGATGGCAAACAGCATTAGTATAAAATATTAGAATACAAAACGGGGAAAAAAGGTGGAGCAATGGTTAATTAGATTTAGCAGCAACAGCAGCATTAGGAGGGTCAGTTTATGAGGGTGAGGTTTGCACAGCATTGTACAGCATGAAGCTCAATGGTGGTCTGTATTCTTTTGTTCCAGTGATTGGATCACCCTTCATGTGGCAAGAACTTTTACTGAACGTTGAAAATCTGCTTTTAGCTACACTGCACCAGCAAGCTGGAATTCACTACAGAAATCTCTAAAACTTCGCTCGCTAGTGTTCACGCATCCTTCAGGCTCTGACTCTCACTCGGACTCCATCTCCCACAATCCTCAGGGAAATCACATGACTCCTGCGACCTCTGAACTGCCTTCACGCTCCACTCAGCGCTCTCACTCTCCCGAATACTAATTTGATTGACCTGTTTCATAGGTCATGTGATATCTTTAGTTTAGTTTATAAGCCCGGGTTTTAGCATAGAAATGTTGCGAAGTATTGTATCGTTTTCGACCGACTGAGCGTTCTATTGTATATCTGCTTTTCTGTTTATGACCGTTTTGCCTGTTTTTCTCGACTCTGTCTTTTGCCTAACCCTTTGGATTGCCGGCTTTTTTTCTCTCACCGTTTTTTGACCTTTTGGGCTGTCTTCTGGAATTTGCCCTTTTGCCTCGCCCTTCGGGTTGTTCTGCCGATAGTTATGTTTTTGATCTGGTTGTATTTTCTGGTTTTAACCCACGCCTGCTTTTTAACTACGAAGCTGATTCCCTCAGTAAAGCCTCTCTTGATCATTTTTACCTCGAGCGTCTGACTCATTCTGTGCTGTTACAGAATACTTAGCCTATCATGCAGACGGCGGACCCAGAGGCTTTACAAAAGGCTTTGGCGGAACAAGGACAGTTACTGGGAAGACATCAAGTGTTGTCGGGAGTTACACATTCGCTAGAGTCGCTAGCACAGCAACAGTCTGAACAGCAAGGTCAACCAGCACAACTCGTAGCGAGTGTTAAAGGGCTCGCGCATCAGCTTCAGAGCATGAGCGTTGCTGAAACAGAAGTAAACACCCCCGGCCCTTCTGATCAAGCGGAAGCACTTCACGCTGTATTCCCGCGTGAGTAAGCCCGGTAAATTTGAAGGGGATCCTGATAAGTGTCGTGGTTTTTTTTACTCCAGTGCGATGTTTTTTGAGAACTCCCCAGTAAGTTCTGATAAAGCTAAAATCGCCTTTATTGTGTCTCGTTTGGCTGATAGACCGTTAGAGTGGGCCACGGCCAGCTGGTCTCACATACATGGCCTCACTTACTCCCAGTTTATTAAGGAGCATAGGTCTTCGACCATCCTTATGAAGGAAAGGTTAGTGGGGAGTTACTTTCTAAAATCCTCCAAGGTTACGCTTCTCAAGCCAAGGGAGTCCTAAAATTAGATCAAATTCAGAATTTTCAAGGACTAAGAAAGGAAAAAGTTCTTGGTGGAGAGCGTGGTTTCCAGATGTACGGGTTTAGTCCTCTGGGAGTGGTGTCACTGGCTAGAAGGAACTAATTACCCCTTTGTAGTCATTACTGATCACAAGAACCTAGAATATCTCCGCAATGCTAAGATTAAATGCCCGCCAAGCTAGGTGGTCTCTGTTCTTCTCCCGTTTTAAATTCAGTACCACCTATCGTCCAGGTTCTAGGAACACCAAAGCAAATGCTCTATCTAGATCATACCAGAACGAGAATCTTGTTTCCAACCAATTCGAGCCTGAATGCATTTTACCCCCTGAGGTTTCTATTCCTGCTATACGTTGGGAAATAGATGAGGAAATAGCAAAGGCATTAACTAATGTCACTATACCAACCCAGTGCTCCCCAGAGAAGACTTATGTCCCAGACCAGTTTTGTACGCAACTAAACACCTGGGCTCACTCACCTCTGGTCACCCCGGGGAGATGCGTACACGTCAGCTACTGTCCAATCGATACTGGTGGGAATCTATGCATAAAGATATACATACCTTCGTCGCATCCTGTTCAACATGTTCACAATGTAAGACCCCCAAAACGTTACCTGCAGGTAAAATTGCCCCCTTACCTGTCCCTGAGAGACCTTGGTCCCATATAGCAGTTGACTACCAGAATCCCAAGGTTATACCACTATCCTGACAATCGTTGACAGTTTCTCCCGGGGTGTTCGTTTCGTCCCTTTTAGCTCAATTCCCAGTGCTTTTCAGGCGGCAGAGGCTTTGTTTATGCACGTTTTCCATCTTTTTGGCATACCAGAGGACACTGTATCTGATCAAGGGCCCCAGTTCACCTCAAGTTTGGAATGCACATTGGCGTTTCCATAAGCCTAACATCAGGCTATCACCCACAGTCTAATGGACAATGTGAAAGAACCAATCAAGAATTGGGTAAATTCTTAAGACTGTTCTGTCATAACAACCCTTCAGACTGGTCACGTTACTTACCATGGGCTGACATAGCACAGAACTCTTTAACCAGTTCAGCAATGAGGCTAACTCCTTTCCAATGTATTCTAGGGTACCAGCCACCTTTAGCACCTTGGACAGGTTCCTCCACAGATGTTCCCGCAGTCGATGCATGGATGCAAAGGAGTGAGAAAGTCTGGGAGGAGACTCACCAACACATTGAGACCATTTTACGGAGAAACAAGGAACAAGCAGATCATCGCAGGAGTGAAAACCCTGTGTTTCAACCTGGAGACCAAGTGTGGTTTTCTACCAAAGACTTCAGAGTCCCAGAGGGAAGTAGGAAATTACACCCCAAATATATTGGACCTTTTTAAGGTGTTGAGAATAAATGAAGTAACTTATAGATTAGATTTACCCCCTCATTTCAGAGTCTCTCGCTCATTTCATGTTTCTCTCCTGAAACCTGTCGTTACAGGACCTTTGGATGAGGCCACGCCAGATGTCACACCGCCTCCCCTGGAGGAGATAAACGGGGCACCAATCTACGCTGTCTGCAGGCTGCTGGACTCCCGGAGACAAGGAGGTAACCTCCAGTACTTGGCGGACTGGGAGGGATACAGCCCGGAGGAGCAGTGTTAGCACGAGACATCTTGGACACTGGTCTCATCGCAGATTTCCACAGTCGACACTCTGACAAGCCTGATCCTCGCCCTAGGGGTTGCCCACGGAAAGTGCTCCTTAGTTCACTTCCTGTCCGTCTGCAGGGTCGTCGTGGACGAAGCCTGTCGGTCAAGCACCTCAGAAGCTCTGGACCTGCCCCTGTTCGAGTCTCCGGTGGTGGGCGTGGTTGTCGTCCTAGCCGGCCTTGTCCCGAGGCCATCCCAGACTCTTTGGTGGTGGGGGGGTACTGTCACGCATCCCTCACCAGTGTCACATGAACATTTTAAACTTTTAATCTCTAACCACTTCAATTGTTTTATTTGATTTTAGTTAACTTTTCATTTGATTTCGGTATGTTTTAGCTATTGTGTCACATTTTTTATTTATGTGGAGATACACAAACATTCTGACAGTGCACTACTTTTCAAAAAGTAGCTAAAAAGCAGCCACTACTTTTTCTGGAAAAGTAGCTAAATTGTAGCTAGCTACAAATTTTGGGAAAGTAGCTAAAAAATTAGTTAGCTACTAATTTTTCAGTAGTTATCCCAGCCCTCCAGGTGTCCATATACTTTTGGCCATGAAGTGTAGTTCCTAGTATGTGATATTTTGCATTGTGATTTGTACAATGTGAAAGGAGGACAGATTGTTAGAATTTATTAGAATTATTCAGCCTATAACACAGATGTAAATAGTTGCACAGAAGCTGTAGAAAAGGTGGATTTGGCTGGGCTTTTGAAACGATTCAACTGATTAATTGAAAAGAACCAGTTCAAAAGAACAACTTGTTCATGTATCAGACAGCACTAGTGTATGTGGTAAGGTGCGGCTGCGATCTGCCTATTCCTAACAACATACCAGAGGACATTAAGACCACTTAAAACCATTAGTAGTCACATCAACACAACCAACAAATACAAGTGAAGTGGGCAGGACCTGCCACTGCTGTTTGATGTGTGATATGCCAGTGCTGTACCTCTTCTCTAAGTCCTGTATGTAGCAGCATGTTAACACACTCCTGAATGGGCAGAGCAATGTCTCGGCCAGAGCTCTTCAGGTGAGAGAGCAGAGACTCTCCATACACTTGTCCTGCGGAAACACCCACCTGGGGCTCTGTGTTCAAACACACACACACAAATACAATAAAAAAAATTGGGTCATAAATATGTCCCTAATGTACTTTACACTCACTGAGCTCTTTATTAGGTATACTACCTTGTTTCTACACTCATTGTCCATTTTATTAGCTCCACTTACCATATAGGTGCATGTAGTTACAAACTGTAGTCCATCTGTTTATTTCCCTAATATGCTATCCCACCTTCATTATTGGCCAGGACCACCACAGAGCAGGTATTATTTGGGTGATGGATCATTTTCATCACTGCAGTGACACTGGTGGCAGCATGTTGGTGTGTGTTGTGGTGGTAAGCGTGAATCAGACAGTGGTGCTGCTGGAGTTTTTAAACACCTCAGTGTCACTGCTGAATTGAGAATAGCCCACCAATTAAAAATTGATGACCAACACAAACTGTGCAGCAACCGACGAGCTATTATCTTTGACTTTATATCTACAAGGTGCACCAACTAGGCAGTAGTGTCTAATAGAGTGGACAGTGAGAGGATGCAGTGTTTAAAAACTCCAGCAGCAAGTACCAGCGCAACACACTAACATGCCACCAAAACAGTGTCACTGCAGTGCTGACAATGATCCACCACCCAAATAATACCTGCTCTGTGGTGGTCCTCTGGGGGTCCTGACCATTGAAGAACAGTGTAAAAGGGGGCTAACAAAGTATGTAGAGAAACAGATGGACTACAGTATATAACTGTAGAACTAGAATGTGCACCTACATGGTAAGTGGAGCTGATAAAATGAACATTAAGTGTAGATACAGGGTAGGTGTACCTAATAAAGTGCTCAATAATTGTGTGTGTATATATATATATATATAGGCGTATGCGAATGTTTAAAGACCCCTGGTCAAATTACATGCTTTGTTGATTTTCTAAGTCAAAATAAGTTTCGATATATTTTCTACTTATTTTTTATTTATTTCTTTTTAGTGTAAAGCTGCATTATGAAAGTTGTTTGTTAAAAATTAAAGTAGCATTACTGAATCAGGAGAATAAAAACATGCAAAAATGTGGTGTCCATGTGCTGCTACGAGTCAGCCTGTAAAGCCTGAACCCTGTAGAGTCTACAAAAGTACAACTGATGTTACAAAATGTTCTTTCATATGTTGCGTGCAATTGCACACTTCCAATAGACAACTCTCCAAATCCCCATACATAATGTAGCTTTAACATACTGAAAAATAATAAAAAATAAAATGTGCCATAACTTTTACACAGGCCAAATTGTATGTTTTTATATATTTTTCTAATAGTTTAAATTCAGCAAACAAGCAGTAATACTGTATTAAAATGTGTGGAAATATGTTCTCTGTAGACAGTTGGGACACATTTTTCCTTAGAAAATATTCTAATTCGATGATGAGCAGTCCAAACTTTGCATATGACTGTAACTGCCTATATGTAATAAGAACATTGCTAGTCTTTGCTATGGTCATTGCTATAAGAACAATGCTAGTCTTGAAGCTATATGTTACGTTAGCCATGTAGCTCCAGTGCAAAAAAAGGCGAAAAATTGGGGCACCAAAACATCTTAGCTGATCACCTACATTTTTGCTACTTAATTTTTCCTTACCTGATTGACTATGACTTTCCTTGAGCTCAGTGATGTTTTTTTCTAAGAATTCATAGGAGACTCTGTGGTGTTCGGCCTGGAGTTCTAAGAGCTAAAAAGAAATCACAGTGAAACTTCTTGTGCATTTCACATTTTTCCACCCATACTCAAAATGTAAAGTACTTACACGAATGAAGTAGTTAGCATACTCATCCTCTTTAGTGGCGAAATGGTAGAGATCTGCTGAATACTGATCCTATAAATTAATGGTAATTTATCAATGTTGTTAGTTCAAGCACAGTGTTATCAAAATGTATAATCATGCAAGGAAAGCGCATACTATGACAGACTGAAATTAAGATATTTAACCTTGATTGACTCTAGTCTCCTCCAGGCCTCCTCCACTTCCTCCCTCAGTCCATCCTGCTTGGCCTGAGGACCCGTACTAGCTTGGGATCTCAAAAAAGTAGAAAAATAGAGGGAAACTAAGACTCATGTGAAGACATTCCTGCCCAAAAAAGGTGATGAGCTAGGCACAGACACCTGAAGGTGGTGATTAATGGGCACTTAGCTAGAAATGTACAAGTGTATTTGATTAAGAGCATTTTCAATATTATATGTACTCATTTGAAGTGAATTGAAGTGAAACAGCAAAATTTGAAATTTCATTACGCACTGAATGATTTTGTAAAGAGTAATTTAGTCAAATTATTGTGAGCTCAGAATTTTACAGCACTATCAGACAACATGAGAACTGATCTATTGATGATGTCATAAAGGAAAATCTACCTGGTGCGTGCATTGTGCCAGTCTGTTGTGAGTTTAGCAAACTGCTTCTTGTTTCTCAAAATCTCAGGAAGGTCTTCCTGATTAGAGAGGAAGTTAATGTAATTAGAGGCTGGAAAACGGTGAAATATGAGGAAAAAATTTGTAGTAAAGCATACATTCTTACCTCACTGAGTTTATTTAGAGGCTCCAGAACATCTTTTTCCAACTTCATCTCAAAATCTGCCAAAGTTTGTGCCAGAAAATTTTGCATGAAGCAGCACATTTCCAGAACTTTCCTGTACAGAGGCAGAACCAGATGTAGTTAGAGAACTTATGGAGCCATTTTTTGTCTTACTAACCTAAGTGAGCCACAGTCAGTGCTCATAACCATACAAAATATTGAATTAAATGTACATCTTCTGATCCAAAGAAAATTCAATTCAGTGAAAACCAAATAATAATACAACGAAAATTATGTTCCATTAACAACTGCATTAAAATCTGTGGCATAATTAAATCAAATTCATAAAGCAATTTCTTTTTTCATCAAACACTTCTTGAACTCAAAGATGTCAAAGAGCAATGGGATAAATGTGTGGGTGTCCAAACTCTCACCTAATAGAAGATTCAGCATCAAAATCTTTAAAGCTCTCAGCCATACTGACAGAAAGCATCATGAGAGGGAGCTTTTTCTATATGGCATGGGAGAGAGAAATGAGATATTACAGTTTTAAGGGGTAAGCAAAAAGAGCATCATGTCTTTTGGTTTAATCTAAAGAGAGAAGAGAAAAATCAAATGTATACTTTTTCCCCTCCCTTAGGAAAGAAAAATCAAATTAGAAATTTTCTTAACATCTCTGTAGTTTCTCCTAGGGAACAATGAGTTCAGATGGAAAGACAAATGAGATGTCTGCTGCTCAGATATATTTTTTCCTGAGCAAAAGACCCCACAGACGTGTCATTTGTCTCATCTTGAGTCCCACATTGTATCAGATTTACAAAGAAAATGAATAACTATTACATTTTTTATCTGGGCCAGAAGTTTTTTTTTTGTCTGATGCTATTTCTCCTAAGAAATTTTAGGAGAATGGTCATTAAGTTTCTTGAGCCTTCAAAGACATTTGAGCAATACAGTTTTTGTTTGGATGAATACCAAGGTAGTTGATAGGATTGCAAAGATTGCTTCTTTCATTTTAAATTGGAGCTATGAGGCCAGCTAACAAGCATTGAAAAACTGTAAAAGTTTTGGTGTTTTAACTTAAAAAAAAAATAAGTTGCTGAAACTTGCAATACAATTTTCAATGAACTTCAAATAATAACTTGACGGAACATAAGATTTTTGCTCTGTTAACCCTCAGAAGTTCAGTAAACTTAAAACTTTATTGTAGAAAGTTACCAATTTTTTTACACTGAAACTTATATCCACCAACCACTGTGCACACTGCATGACTAAATCATACATTTATCCCAAATGGCATAGAGTTGTTAAGTAATTTTTAATACACTTTATGTTTTTTATGACATTGAATGATGTAGTGATAGCTATAAAAATGGGTGAAATTATGTTGTGAAGTAATAGTAGAACAAATTTTATCTGTGCCTTTGTCCATTTTTATAAATAAAAGCATATCATGCAGTGTCAGAAAGCACATGAACAACCTGTGTATTTAAGATAACAAATTGCCACAGTTTGTGGCGTATATTATGATTTAAGCATGCAGTGTGCACAGTGCCAACTGGTGAGGTACTGTTAACAATGATTAAACATGCTTTAAGTAAATTTTGGTATAAAACATTTTCTCAATAAGCAAGTGAGCCTGTCTTTTACAAGACTTACAAAGTCTGTCCTAGACAATTTATTGTTAAAAAAAATTATTATCAGGAAAAGGGGAGCAGATGGAGAGAAACATTACCATGCGTTTGTCTGAATCCAGGCCCTGCTGACTCTGAAGGCAGCTGGTCAGCTTCTTATGAATGATCTGGGCGGCTTTCCTCGCTGGCTCCACACGCTGCTCCACCTTCACAAAGCCACAGGTACACTGAGAAACCAAGCTTAAGTACAATAATAATATGAAGCCATGTATGCCTGTTTGTGTGTGTGAATATGTTTTTGGCCACCAGCACTAACCTGTGTATAGGGAGAAACAGGGTGACATGCATGAAAATTTGAACAGGACTCACCAAAACCAAATCCTCTGAGAGAAGATCTGTTGCATCCTGAGACCTGTAATTGTAAAAGCAGTCATATATATGTATATCAGATTATATCTATTTTTGAAATGTCAGTGAAATCTAAACAACCTTCCAGTGCTTATAATTGAAGCAATTATCTGCTGATGCCGATATGATTCCAATACCATTCTGCATCCCTAAAACATTCTTTAACACACTCAAACTCATAACTACTACTTTTTTACTTGTAGTTACCACATAATTCATAGTAGCTACTGATTAATTAACTAAATAAATCTTGGGTTCAAGGGGTTACCAGGTTTCAATCCTACAATGCCTTGCGCATAGCTTGTTTATGAGTTCATATTATGTCATTATCATATACAACTTATTGACCTACAAGGTAACAAAATTTGCATACACATAAGTTTCTATGTTTCTTGTGCTATTAGTGATTTATTATATCATGTTTTACTGTGACAACAGGACATTTCATTTAAACATGGTTTCTGGCTGTCTTGACAGTCAGTAAGTGAGATGAGGTCATTTGTATGAATACTGACAGCACATAAAATAAAAAAAGAGCAGTGTGTGTGTGAAGTGTGAAAATGACATGATCCGTATTCTGATCAACTTCTCTCAAGCAGCTCTTCCGTTGTGTCAGGCAGCCAAACTCTACATCCTAAAATTAGAGAGTGAGGGGTGCTGTGGTTAGGAAGCAGGCCAGAGAGAATGGAGGGGAAGTGGGCTGCAAGCTGAAACACGCAAACAGTTTTACACGCAAACAGTTTTACAAGCTTTTTGCTGTGTCCCTATTACTTTTCAACCATGTAATGCATAAGACTATAAGCCAGATTTATGGTTTACACTGTATTAAGGAGGTATGTATGAATCTAATGTACATTTTGGTCAGCCAACAATAGCCAATGCAATGCATTATGGTTATATATTATAGCAGTGCTAGTTCTGACGAACTAGTATCAGAGACAACACAGACACCCATCATCATTTCCTACAACTCGACACAAGACAAAGTCGCAAAGAGAAACCACTACAGTCTCAAAGAAGATGCCACTCCCTATTGTGCAGGTCATTTTGCTGTCATCTCAGGTGATACTGAAAGCTGTTTAAGCTTGTTAACTTCTTGATTGAACAAGCACAAAGGAGAAAAACAATTAGTTTGATGCTAACTAGGGTTGCTAAGACTCTAGGATTGCCTATAAGACTCAGGGATGGCCTTCAGAAAATGTTAAAAATTCAGTCTGAGCTTGGAAGCTACACACACAGTTACAGTAAAACGTCCCAGGCTTCTGTCAATTAGCGTAGGTAACCCTATTCATAACTAACATCTTAATCTAACTGAAATTCTGAAGTTAATACAGGATTAGCACCCACATTGCAATGGGCTTATCTAAGCATTTTGGGATGTTAAAATATCAGTAACCTTAAATTAAAATGTCAGCAACATAAATTATGAGTTACAGTTATCAGTTCAACTGAAACATCAGTGTACTGTTTGGCCAATTGTTTTCGCAATTAGAAAAACTACTAAAACTTTCATACGTTTTAACAACTGTTGCCAACACATCAACACAACTGAAAACATGAACGATCAAAAATACAAACAGGAACATTTATCCAACTTCTTAAATTTAGTGCATTTCTTCTGCTTATTCTACAATAGCTGGTGAAAGGTTAAGCTGGTTTCATAATTAGTAGGTTTTGACTGTGCGTTGGCGGATGCTTCTTTCTGTTCTAGACGAGTAGACCCGGAGCCAATGAGTTTAATAATACATTGCTAACAATGTTAGCAGAGCAGGATGCAAATCAAGCAGCTTTTTCCGTGCAGCCGGCAGAGACTGCAGCCTACAGCAAGTGGCAGCTTAGCATTAACAATCATCCCACAACTTAAAGTCCAACCCTGTATACTTATACTGAGCATCACAAAAACCATATTCATAAAAAATAATTATCAAATATACATATAAAACAGACAGACAGATACTGAACTAATTTCTTATTTTTAATTTCTAATTTATCACATCAAATGCCACATGAACAGATTCAGTCTAAGTAATGCAGCAACCAAGTTCATGTTAAGAAGGTAGTCTGAAATTGCAGTTTGTTTGCCTATGAATCAATAAGCCATAGAACAAGTACAGTGTAGTAAAGTAGGGAATGTTAAGCTGTAACAGTCATGAAACTTACAACAACATGATCAGTAAATGCCATGCGAAAGTACTTACTTCCCCACACCTCCAAACTGCTTCAGGAGGTTAAATTGTTTGAGCATTGTTATGATGATTAACTTTCCGTACAACCACTCCTGTAGTTTGTTTTCTCAAGCTCACGTCAGAGGCTCCTCACTTTCATTTGATGGTGGATATTGCCTTAGGATTCATATAAATGGAGAAAACAATGTCATTCACTTGAGTTCTCCATTTGAAACACTTCACAGCTAGACTTCTTATATGCACACGCCTCATCAGGTCAGAAAAAAATGAGGAAGTTACAACATGCGTACAGGGAAGGAGATCTATGTATCACACAGTGAAACTCTTGCAGTCCCATCCAGCCACTGTGAAAACAGAACTATGATCGCTAACATTCACCACTTCTGGGTGAACTGTTTTTAGACAACAGGCTCTCCAAAAATTGTTTTATGAGTCTGACTGATTTATATGACTGACAAACAGCAGAGCTTTTGCGAACTGCCTTACGGAAGACATTTTAAATATCCACATTTGAAGTAGATACAACAAACTGTGGCACTGCAAATGATTGCAGGCTTAGAAACACCGGATGCAATTTCTTCAATAGAGCCACATTACTAACACACTAATGAATACTTAAATACTTCACAACATTTGTATTTTAAGAATGTTTTTAGTCATTACTTTTTAAATAAATCACATCATTATTTTTTCTTTAAGAACAGACTGGAATATTATCTTCTGCTCCAATGCTGAGCATTGCTATAATTGTCAAGAAACAAAAATAAAGGTGATATTCAAAAGAAAAAATAACTGTGATATGCATTTAGAATACAGAAATTGAATATCTGTGTTCAGTCCAAGTTACATTTTGTAAAGGCAATATTTAGAATAGTTTAGAATAGAATATGTAATGCTTTAGAATACCCACCCACTTTTTCAGAATACCTATCCATCTTCAAAAGAAATACCATCAATCATTGTTTATTTACTATTTTATATTCAGTGCAGTCATACTCTAAAGAAGAACTCAATCAATGGCTTCTTTACAAACACTGAATTTACTGCTAAAGCCTGAGTAGATTAATGACGTAGTAGACAACAGTAGTAGACAATATGAAGAGCCAGAAATGAATATCAATGTTTACTAAACTCCTTTGAGGGATGATTAAACTGAACATTCTCCTCAGTTTTTGTAATTTCATACGAATAAGCGTATGATTTTTCATAAAATATATTTTTTTAAAAATCACATGAAGAAAACTGGCAACCAGTAATAGCAAGGAACAGAGTGCAATAAAACAAAAAAATAAAATTACAAAAAAATTGTGCCTGATAAATATGTATTCTAAATGTTTTCTAAATGTATTCTGAATACACTTTCTTTAATGGGTAACACTTTACCTTAAGGGTGTATGATCTGCCAGTAATTAAGGCATTTTCTAACAAATGACTAATCAGAAAGTAATAAGTCATTAATCAGGAACAAATGAATAAGTCATATCTTAACAACCACTAGAATAAATTACTCCACAATTAACTTATGCATGTACTAATGAATGAAGATGAAGGTAAACAAGGCTTTCTTCAACATCTGAATTTATGAGGAATTCACGTGTTAATTAATGTTTGTTGACACAAGATTCCCACAGTGTCTATCAAAGTCACATTTTGTCTATCAAAGTCAACTGTTTTTTCTGTAGCTCCATCCTCTCATCATCTTGTCCTTCTGCTTCAACTTGCTGTGTAAGCAGCCCTTACACTGACATCTTTTTGCAACTAGTCCTCATTTGTGACAATTGCCATAGTTTTAATTCATCGTCAATGTTACAACATGACAAGTTTTAACTCCTATGTTGATACACAGTGCCTCATGAGAGAATAGTTTATCCTACAGTTACCACTGAACTCGGAAATTAGTTAATAATTGATAGGGAAAGTGCAGTGCCTTTCTCTTAGGGTCATAAAAATTCTATGCATGTTTTTGTGCTTTTCCTCATGTAGTACATCTGACTGACCTCAGTTGCTAATTTACAAGCTGCTGTTGTGCTGGTTGAGGTGTGTCAGAGTAAGGAAAACACAAAACTATGCAGAGTCAATTTTCAATTCATTATAAAGAAATTATTACTTTTCATTCATGATGAAGGCAGTTAGAACACCCTCTTGCTGCCTCAGCTCAGTCTGTTTACTACTAGGCCCAGTGATGCACTGCCACTGCATGCACACAGCTCTTCACAATAAGAGTCCCTGTAAAAGGACAAATAACAAATGAACCAAACAACCTGAAATTAATATGTAAACATTTCTAATTTTTAACCAAACAGAATAGACATGCCTAATGCCACATATTCACAGCATCACACAAAACTCCTTACTACTCTTACAACCAAAAAGGTTTTCTGCAAATAAGTAATGTTAAGCACCAAACAAAACGTTTAATATAGCTACTTTACAACAAATTCAGTAACAACAGCATCTGAAAATCTGTTCTGTTTCACCACAGATAACAGCTGCATGCTTTACTTGTTAGTCTAAAAAAAAGTGAGGCATAAAAATACACACTAGCATAACACTCACAACACTGACAACTAGGCAATACCATGTGTAAACATTATATTTGCGATGTAAATATGTGTAATATGTGTATATAATTCAGTACGTGTATGCATAATTCAACTGTAAAAGTAAGAAAACTGCTTTCATGTTGGACATTTTTATTTTAGTTTTATTTTAATGATTTTCATTCGCTTGTCTCAACAGTTTAATAGAGATATTTACTTTCAATGTGTCCCAATCCAGGGATTGCATCATTTGAAGGACGTAGTCGCTTGACATATAGCAATTACCCATAGATATACATACCTAGATGGCGCGTTGGGTCCAGCCAGGCACGTCAGCGGCACCTTCATTTTAGGGCGGTCAACATCGCTGCTGGACTCCATTCAGTGCCATTACAGAGCAGCAGTTACACAAAATTACGCTATTTAAGAAGATATTGCACTCAGAAAGCAGGATAGGATTATATAACGGAGGGAACACACTCTTGATACACTCTTGTGTGTGTGATGCGTATTGTTTGTGTGATGTTTATAGATATGGCCCTGTGGTTGGTGAGGCATAGAGAACCTGTTGATGTGTTTTTCCTCTGGTTTTCTATTAAGTCTTTCTTCTATTAAATTTCTATTAAATCTTTTCAGTGGATCTTATCTTTATCTGGTAGGTATTTATTTACAATGATGGTTAATGCTTGTAGTTATAGCATTCCTTAATTCGTGTAGATATTCATAATAGATTAACGTTAGTACCTTCTTACACGAACCTGAAATTAGCTTCTTATTTGAATTTTCCCGTTCCATCTTAAATACTGCATCAGTCAGCTTCTTGTTCGAATTTTCCCGTTCCACCTTAAATGGTGCAGCTTCAGGAACCAGAAAGTCACTGTTGCGCCATTTAAGGTGGAACGGAAAAACTCGAACAAGAAGCTGGCGAATAGGAAGCCAACCTTAGCTTCGTCCTTCTGTGTATAAAGATTAGAAGTGATTCACACATTGATGGATTTGCTGACTGTTTTTACCGGAAATCGCGCTAAACTCAAGTCAGGTGCAGACTGAATACTTGGCTGCTGGTCCGGACGGCCAATTAGCACAATCAGTTATTAAAGAAATAAAAGCTACCGATAGCAGTCCATGCAAGCTAGATTAATCTATGTTTTAGCATTATAACAAAACAAATTTGGTGAAAATCGGTTTAGCAATAAGGAAGTTGTGGCCGATTTAATCCTGAGAACTCTTCATCTCTCAGTGCAAGTGAATTCGTTCACAAGCGCATCTTGACCGCTCTATCATGGCGGACGCGCAGACGTATCGCCTCACATAGAGAATAACAGGCAACGCGGCATCTAGGTATGTATGTCTATGGCAATTTCCACAGTTACTGCCACCTACTGGCGAAGAAAAACAGTTGTAATTCCCAGCTGCGGAAACAGTGAGAGTTTCATTACAAAATGCTGTGTATAATGGGAAATGCATTTTTATTTTTCTAAAAGTAGTATACATTTTTCATAATAACGGTGTTATATACTAAGATAATTCACAGTTTTAATTAAATAAAGTGCCTATTTTCAGTAAATAAACCAAATACACACAAGAGTTTATGTTTATGTTGTAACAGTATGACATGGTATGTAATGATATAAATTGCATGAACAGGAACAGTAGGCCGATGTGTACTAACATTCTTTTTGCATGCTTAATTAACACATGAATTCTTGATAAATTCAGATGTTGAAGAAAGCCTTTATTACCTTCATCTTCATACATTAGTACAAAAATTAATTAATTCTGAGTAATTTAATCTTATGGTTGTTAATATACGACTTATTCATTTGTTCTTGATTAATGACTCATTCTTTTCTGATTAATGATTAATTAGTAAATGCCTTAATTACTGGCAGGTCATGTACCCTTAATGTAAAGTGTTACTCTTTAATGTATTGTTCACTGGATAGCTGACGACACATGAAGCTACTATTTAATAACATGGCTGTGTATTCCTCTTTTACAATTTCTCAATACTGTTGATGCATTTATTGGATATGCAAAGAATTTTAATTTTTTTCATAACTTTTTCATAACTTTGAACAAGAAAACACAGTAATAGTTATAAACTTCATAAATCAAATAAATAAATCAAAAATGTGTTATAAGCATTTATCAGTCCAAATTGCTCTGAATGAGCTTGCTTACTCACTCAAAAATCACAGTGTATCCGGCAATCAAGGAAGCCTTATGAATCTTTTATACAGTGAAGAAAAAAACGGTGGCACATAGAAAGCTCAGGTTCTACAAGCTTGCATATTGCATGGCTAACATGGACATGATCATGCCATAACTCTTCTATTGTGGGGAGATTTAAATGACTTTAAATCCTTTTTTCTCCTCTATATGTAATATTTTGAATCATTTATGAATAATATTTTTGGCAAAGAATAATCAGCTCTCCCATATATTGAAATGGCCCAATCTGGCCCCCTTTGAAAAAGGTTTAGACACCCCTGCTTTACGCTGAAGCATTTACTGCAAAACTGCAACATACAAAAAATATAAATGTATTATTTGAATGAATTCAAATAAAGAAGAATTGAAATGTCTGTTTGAGCTAAAAATGCCATGAGTAACATTAAAACCAATGTAGGAAACAGACTGTACAGTGTTTTTTTGCCTAATGCACTAACGTAACATTAATGCACATAATGTAGCATGAAAAATCTGTTTGAAGTGCTAGAAGAAATTAGCAATTATCATTGCTAAACTAATTGCTACCAAAGGCTACTAATGAAGTGAGACACTGTTAACTTAATGGAAAAATTCCTTTGTCTGTGGTGCATGATAAAATAGCCACAAAATAGTATGTAATATGTGCATATCATAACTGTGATATGCAAAAACAAGATTTGCGAACAACTGGAATACTGCTATTTCTTGGGTTAGGTGTTACATCATTGACATTTTAAAACCCCAACATTTTTAGATAATCAATTTTAAGGTAGGTAGGAATGGTGTCTCAGAGGATTCAAAAGTGAGACTGAGTCATAACAAGAGCATGCAAGCAGCTGGGCTTCAGGCAGGAACTAAGGATGGTTTGAAGGGTCAAACTAGGAAATTTAAATAAAACAGCATTAAAAGCATTAGTGACATTTTATTAATTAGGTATTATCACACTTTGATACCACTAATGTGTACATAATAATCATACTAACAGCATAGGTTACAATAATAACAACTTACAATAATAATACTTAGCTTAGTTTACAACCAATAACTTTGCTGGTGACAGCAACCAAGCTGTCTATGGTAGGTCATCAGTATGGCGGGCATATGACATTATATGAATTTCATAGCCTTTGTCTCTACTCAAAAAATTAGTAGAAGCCCATGCTTAATGTTAATACTGGCTGTCAGGTAATGCAACTTAAGTAAAAGGACTAGCAGTGTTCGAGGGCATTTATCATTTTTGTTCTCCATACTCTTATCAGCTGTTTCTTGCTGTTGTCCAGTATTTTGGGTTTTTTTGGCCACAAAGCTATTATTCACAATGCTATGCACTTGTAATCATGTGGGTCATAGTGAAAGACAATGACAGAGCGATGTTCCTTTCTCAGTATGCTTTTTTAGGTTGGTGATTTAGTTAAAAAACTGATATCACATTACCACATCACTGATAGCTTGCATCAACGTACAGGCCAATCCAAAATTGTGTAATTTTAAGGTAAAGCCCTACCCCCCACCGGGGAACAAACAATGTACGTGTAACTTCTAACCACATGTACACACATGCCATATCAGAACATTCACCATGACTCTTTCCAATCAGCATGGCTTCACTGACTTGCAGAAAAGCAACAGCAAGTAGTTCAGTTCAAAAAATGACCCTGCCCTGCTAGACCCCTGTCGATTGTAAATGTTATTATTGTGAAATGGAAGCATTTAGGAGCAACAACAGCTCGGCCTCCAAGCAGAAGGCCTTTATAAAATGGGTTTCAATGGCCAAGCAGCTGCACACAAGTCTAAGATCACTGCACAATACAAAGCAGCGGCCAGAGTGGTGTAAAGCATGCTGCAACTGGACTCTGGAGCACTGGAAATGCTTTGTTAGAGAAATATATTTTCACTATCCTTGGACATAGCAAATATCAGTTAGAATAGTTAGCCTAGTTAGTGAAAATGCAGCACCATGTTAGGATGCTCTTGTTTTGTAGGAGCGAAGTATAATATACTTACTTAGTCTCATGTATAAGTAAAACTGTCGCAAATACTTAGAAAAAGTAATGATGGCTGAATACTAAACACACTGTCCTAAATGTATTCAGTAATGTATTCCGTTACAATACATTAAAAAGTAACATATTTCAAATACACTTAGAATACATTTAGAATACATGTACACTGGAGTACATGTGAAAAACTCTACTGTACTTTTTATTTAATCACATTGTTTCTCATTGTTACTGGTTGGTGGTTTCCCTCATGTAATACTTATGTTAATTTGTTTAATGAAAAATTCAATTATTCAAATGAATACAAAATGATTCATGACTACAAAATTCTGAATAGACTGCTGGGATAGGCTCCAGCTCCCCCCGTGGCCCAGACAGAAAAGCAGCTTAGAAAATGTGTGTGTGTGTATTGTGAAAACTGCCTTTACAAAACAAACCTTCAACTGAATACAGATATTAATTTGTGTATTTTGAATACATAATTCCCAGTACTTGTATTCTGTTACACCCCAACCCTGGTTATGGATATCTCCTAAAGTTTTTTAGTAATATACAATATTTGTCTTAAGAATATATTTCTTACTAGGGCACTGAACATTGTACACATCAAGTGCAGTAAAGTTAGTGCAAATCCAATTTTGTTAAGATATTCTAAATAAGATATTCTATTTTTAAATGCTACAGAATAATCACTTCATGTATGTAGAGTAACACAGAGCTTTGTATAAATGACCTTTTTTGTAGTGCGTTTAATATAGATTGTTGATTCTATTTGATTGGCTGGTCTGACAATTTTCGCATCACTTTTAAATGCTGCAGTGAAATCACCTATTTTTTGATGTGCATAGTAGTATACTCTGATATCAATATTAATATACTCTGATTTCATATATTTTCTTTTTTTTGAACTACTTGAAATAACTATTTTATGCTTCTGGTGTTGTGAAAAAGCTATGATTTCATATGGCTCTACATGCAGTAGCCTGCTCTTTTCTATGTGCTTTCACAATGCTGTTACTGCTAAAGGTTGCTTTGATATTTCTGCATTGACATTTCAGTATAAACCTGACTTTACACCAAAAATGTGCTTGTATTGTTTTACACAGCAGCACTGAGTGAAAATAGTAAAAGCAAAAGTGTATTGCAATAGGGGGCAGCATGGTGGTGCAGTGGGTAGCGCTGTCGCCTCACATCACCTGGGTTTGATTCCTGGCCAGGGCAACCAGGGTCCTTTATGTGTGGAGTTTGCATGTTCTGTCTGTCCTGTGATGGACTGATGACCTGTCTAAGGTGTTTCCTGCCTTCTGCCTAGTGACCGCTGGGATAGGCTCCAGCAGGTTCAGATTGTGTGTGTGTGTGTGTGTGTGTATATAAATATATATATGTATATATATATACAGGGAGATTCACTTGAAAGAGGCCCTGAATAATCTGTTGTAACTCCCGTTAGGATGAAGCAATCTGAACCAAAAAAATACGCTACATACCTTGACATATGTGTAATTGATTGCATTATATGTGATGCTGGAAGTGATATGTAGAAAAGGAGCAGAAAAGGAGCGGACACATTTCGACACACACACACACACACACACATATATATATATATATATATATATATATGAGCAGAGTAAAAGGATCCATGAGCAGGGTAAACTTTATTACACAGAACAAAAGTCAAAAAAGCCAAATCAGGAAAGTGATGCAAAAAGCCTAAACACAGTCCAGAAAAACTAAAAGGCATGCCAAAAGCAAAATGGGGGAACAAGAGTAGCTGTTTATAAGATGAGTGAGCTTAGAACCCTAGAGAGTTAAAAAGTTAAAACTCAGGGGGTGAGGACCTCTGTTGGTGAACTTGGGTATGACTTGTGACAGGTATTTTGTGCATTCTTCTAGTGGCATGCTGGTCATGACAAGCAGCAAAAAATAGACTCAAAGCATAAAGCATAAACAGGCGGCAACATTTCTGGTTCCTGTTTATATATGGTTCTTCTTTGCGTTTAAATGTTTTAATTAGCATTTGTGGATGCAGCACCAAACTGTTTTCATAGACATTGTTTTTCAGTAGTTTTTCTGAGCCCATGCAGTGATTTCCACTACAGAATCATGTCTGTTTTTAATGCAGTGCCGTCTGACGGCCCAAAGATCACAGCCAGCAAACACTTCCTAATCGTTACTTCTGAAAGACTCAGCCTCTCTGAGATGCTCGTTTTATACCCAGTCATGTTACTGACCTGTTGCCAATGAACCACAAGGTGTTCTTTAAGCATTACACAACTTTACCAGGCTTTTGCTGCCCCGTCCCAACTTTTTTGGAACATGTTGTTGGCAACAAATTCAAAATGGGCATATATTTTCAGTTTCAACATTTGATACGTTGTCTTTGAAGCATTTTCAATTAAATGTAGGGTTTAAATGATTTGCACATCATTGCATTTTGTTTGTATTTACATTTTTCACAGCGTCCCAACTTTTTGGGAAATGGGTTTGTAGATTATCAGCATCACTGTTGTACATTAAATCCACTCCAGCTGTAATATACAAGGGGAAACCACTTTTCTCAGGCTCTGGTTAAAGATGTTCCGCCTATATTCTCAGTTGTAAAAAGGTGGTATAATGTGAATACAAGTTACTGAGTGAAATGATCATGCACAGAAATAGATTATCAGTATCATTGTTGTACATTAAATCCACTCCAGCTGTAATATAATATAAACGTGTTTAACTACAAGTAATTTTACAAACAACGTGATAATTCGCTTACCCGAGGAATAACAAAATTAATACAAACATATATCCAACGAAAAAAAAAAAAACAAGAAATACACTGAAAGTTGATCTAAGAATAGACTCGCTTAAAATGTGTAAAGATTAAGTAGTAAATAAGTACTTCCTTCAATTTATATCTTATTAATTAACATCTTATAAATATATTAAAGCAACATCATCTCTCTTCCTCTATTAATATTTTTAAAGGACTTTTACCAGATGCAGCGGCCTGATCGCTGTTGCTAAGCGCCTCCGGAAGTAGCCCTATGTTTACACATTTCGGTGTGGAGACCTGACGGTAAGCTTAAGCTGTCTGAATAAACCGATTAAAGGAAACATAGACGTCGACTACTTTTCCAAGAGATGGTCATAGTTTCTAGAAACTCTTTAAAATCGAACACATACCGTAATCAGTGTCTTACGATTTTCTCAGTTCTTCTTTATTTGACTTGCTGGTCCCAACTAACGTTAGCCAGCCCCCTCAAAACCAGCTAAAGTTAACGTTACCGTTATCTAGCTAGCTAGCTAAGCAGCCAATTATAAGCTCGTAGGTAATGTTATGTATTATCATACAAAAAGTCAAATGCTGTTGTATTACAATTCTGAGTGTAGCTATGTTTAGGTCTGTAGCTATATATTCCGTGTAATCAGTGTATCCTGAACTAATCTCTGCCTGTTTTTCTCTGTAGTACACAAGCATCTCAGCAAAGCCAAAATGCCCCTTTTTGGCAATACATTCAGCCCCAAGAAGACACCACCTCGGAAATCAGCATCTCTCTCTAACCTTCATACAGTAATTGAACAATATTTGTGACTTATCATCTGTGTTCACATCAGACTGTTGCTCGGATTTAAGAAAATTGTTACATTAGTATGTGCATATACAAGTCTGTTTATTAACATCAGTGTGAATGTAAACAAATATAAGCTATAGTCCAACTTATAAAATATTTCATTTGCTTTCTAACAGTTGGATCGTTCTACTAGGGAGATAGAGTTGGGACTGGAGTATGGAGCCCCTGTACTGAATATTGGAGGTCAGAGCTTGAAATTTGAAGATGGACAGTGGGTTACAGGTACAGGACTGTCTGTGATGAGCCAACTCTCATGTGCTGTTTTGTGCTCATAACTTGCATTTTATGCTTACGTGTATCATCACCTTCTTGCAATTTTATTACATACAGAGTCAGGAGGTACTACGTCAAGCAAAGAAGTACAGAAATTGAAGAAGAGGAATATGCAGCTAGAAGAGGAGAATAATCTTCTCAAGCTTAAGATTGAACTTCTCTTAGACATGGTGAGTTCTTACTATGGTTGGATTGCCTAATAATGATGTTATGTAAAAAGCACAGCATTTTACTCAGGACATTATGTAGAACCTGTGTTAAGACTTCTCATTGGAGCTCTATGGGTGATGTTGAAAACATTTAATTAAAAAAAATTAAATAAGCTGTTCAGATGTGCTCTATGCTATTTAAACACGTCTTTTTGGGGTAATGTTCAAAACAAAACTACATTTGCAGCAGTAATGCTCTCAGACTTGCTCTACTATAGTTTCCATCTATGTTGAGTTCCACAAGTAGTGGACCTTGTGTTAGAAGGCTCAGCCCACTGAGTACGCCTGGTGTGCCATTAAAAAGCGACTTAATGGCATATTGCACCAAAGTTCCATCTCCTTCCCTTCTGCTCAGTGGTGTGCTTATACAATATGCTTTGAGTAAAGCAAAATTTGTTCTTGAGGTGGAAACCTTAAAAAAGCTTGGGTATAAAGAACTTCACTAAGAAACATTTATAAACAAATTATCTAATTTCTATCACACTTTAATTATTCATCATAATTTTATACGTTTTATATAGTTTTTTCAAGGAGAGTGGAACCCTGTTGGAGAGCTCATGCAAGCTTTTTTCAATATTTTTATTAAATAATTATTGTGGACTATGTGCACATGCAACCCAGCGTAAGCAATTTACATTTTCACATGAGTATGCTTGTCTTATCTCATTATGATTCTCAACTAGGATAGGAAAAAGACGCTATTTTTGTGGAAATATATTTAATCACATTTGATTTCTTTTAGCTCACAGAAACCACAGCAGAGTCACATCTGATACAAAAGGAATTAGAAGACATGAAGAATCATTACAAGCGGAAGAAGTGATGAAGAGTATTTTAGATTATTTATTGAGTTTTGGATCCAAGCTTTTGTTTGTTACGGTTTTATTTTATTTATTTTTTTTGGATATGGCTTTTGGACTTTTTTTCAGGTGGGAGGATGTAATTGTGTAAGTGAAAAATCTTTCCTTGGATGTTTCGATGCCTCTGTTTCGATGCCAAACATGCCATGTTTTATTTTGGACATTCTGGCAAAGTTGTATTGATCTGTTTATTTCAGGGGTGACCAGTCTTATCCACAAAGGGATGGTGTAGCAGCAGGTTTTCATTCCAATAAAGCAGGAGATCACATGATTATTCGTTTGAAGACTGACCAGTTGATTAAACAACTGGAGTCAGATGTGCTCCAGGTGTGCTCCCACTTGTTTGGAATGAAAACTACAGCCACACTGGCCCTTTGCGGATAAGATTGGACACCCTTGATTTGTTTGAACCTCTTGGACTGTTGCATTTACAGTGGCTAGTGCTACTTTACCATGTATTTTTGTATTGTTTATTTGCCATTAAATCAACGGTCATGTCCCATTTTTCGATAATTCTTTGGCTTTCTTTTATATATATTTCAGCCTGCCACACACCAGATACCTTAGAGATTATTAGCTCAGTTCTTTGCCTCTTCCCATAGTGGACAATATGTGGCTTTTTGATCAGATTATGCTGTATATATCTCAATAGTACCAGGAAGTGCCCTTACATATCAGCAATCCCAAAGTCTTTATATGTTATGAAGTACTTATGTATGGCTCCAAATGCATAGAGAAGAATCACTTATTCTTTGGCTGTAGAAAAAGGAGCTTACTTAGGTTGTGTCTAAAAAAATGTGCATGCAGGTTTCTAGGGATTTACATATGCAGTGTGAGTCACAAGTTTGTGTCAGTATTTAAAAGACTGCTTGTTTTCCTCCTTTTACACTAAAAATTACACAGTGACAGGTAGGCAAAAAAATTACACATTTTCCCAATTGCCCAAAATGCAGTCAATCAACCAACACATGTTTGGTGTGTGAAGTTTTCCTTTAGCTTTGCAGTGAAGCTAAGAGGCTAATATAGTTGTGTGTGTTAAATTGTTAAGTATGTCAAATAGAACTGCTTATGTGGTTTCACATAGTACAGTCAGAAATGCAGGCTTCAGGATGATTGCTACTACTGTCTCAGGCTATGCAGCGTATGTTTGTCCATTTAATAGACAGCAAGTCAAGTCAAATTTATTTGTATAGCGCTTTTTACAACTGATGTTGTCACAAAGCAGCTTCACAGAAATCCATTAAAGACAAAGTTTTAACATGAAATGTAAATCCTCCAAGTGAGCAAGCCAGGGGCGACAGTGGCAAGGAAAAACTCCCTCAGAGCTGAGGAAGAAACCTTGGGAGGAACCAAGGCTCACATGGGGGGACCCATCCTCCTCTGGTCAAACTACCTACAAAATTATTATACTACTAATATTAATAGTAGTAGTAGTAGTAGTTAGCAGTCCATGAAAACTTCAGTGTAGAGTGGGAGTGGGCAGCTAGTCCAAGTCAAGTGGCGGTAGCTGGGCAAGTGGCAATATGCTATACGGTGTCAGAAACCACATATTGTCGCTGTCCAAAAAACCCAAGTATTTCTAAAATAGTAACTTTACATTATGTAAGTATTTGAGGTATTTGTCTATAAATTAATTAGTGTCTTATTACATTTGCTCTAAACACTTAAAAAAGATAGCTTTTCAAGGGTTCTTTGGTAAAGAAAATGGTTCTATATAGAACCATGAACACTAAGAGAACCCTTTTCATGATTAAAGTGTTCTTTACATCATGAAAGTGTTCTTCAGATTAATGGAGAATTGTTACAGGCTTGACATTTTATCAATAGAAGAACGCTTTTTAGTTCTATATATAACGCTTTTCAAAAAGGTTCTATATAGATCCATCTACAGCACATTTCCTTTTTTTATAGTGTTTATTACGTTTTTCTCAACATAAACATTCATCACACATGATAACAGAAAAAAGAGGGGAAAGAGAAAAAAAACAAACACCCAGCTTACATACACAAATGTTTATGCTGACTAAAGTTTTACCCACATTTCAAAAATAGTACAGTGAATTATACAAATACTCTCATTAGAATACTTGAGAGATCTGACCCAATATACATCAGAAAATGTTCCCAAATATCGTAGAAGACGCTTGTTGTTTTAGAATGTAACGGGTGTGACGAGTAGTCTAGAGATACATGTTCAAATACAACTCTATGCCAGCTTGCTATAGAGGGTATTTCATCTGTTATCTTTGGTAATAAAATACATTTCCTTGCTCAGAATGTTAAAAAAATGTTTTTTCTTATACCATTTACAATACAAAGAACCCTTTAAATCATGCAAAGCGTTCTTTGATGGTTCATGGTTTTATATAGAACAATTTCTTTGGACATTTTGTTCAACAGTTTGGTCTGTGAAAAACTAAAGAAACAAAATTTGTCTGCTGATTGACTACATTTTAAGTAAGGGGAAATGTGATTATTATGATTTACCAAACCATTTCAAAATAGATTGAACACCTAAAAGTGATGTGAGCAGTTAGTATTAATTTATTTACTGTTTAAACAATGTCAAAATGTTTAACTTAATATCTTACTTTCTTGTGTTTCATGTGAGCGTCACCAAAACAAAACCGTTTTGTGATTCAGATCAGAATCAACTTGGAGATCCTAAGTGATTTGTAACCACAATGTTATTGTTCTGTTTACTGAAACATTTTATGTAAGATGATGTTATGAATGTGAAACTTGTTTGGATAAAAATTAGTTTTGTAATTTAACTTAGTGTCGTACACAAATTGAACTTCATGTAAACATGAGGTTTAATAAGGAATTACAGATAGTTAACTGGATGGTTGGGTGGCAGGAAGGGGCTCAGGAGCAGAGGGTTTCTTTGGCAGTTTGTGTAAGAATGAAATCAGAATAGGAGAGGGACTAGGATGGATATAAAGAACTAGGTTGAATTGGAAGACTGGAAATACTTTACATTATTTGTCCATTGTTGTATCTTAAACCACCGACCAGCTCTGAGATACACAGCTGTAAAAATGAACATGACTGAAAAACATTTGTTCATGTTCACTTTATCTTTTCTTAGATGATATTAAAGTTTTAATGTAACAGTGTAACTCTCACACTAAGATTAGTCCAGTCACAGACACACTGAATAAGCCTACTAATACACCAACACACACCAGTACACTAACTCAAAACCACATACAGCATTCTACAGCCCAAATCAGCCGTAAGTGAAGAAAGCCATCAAACAGTAAGAACAGTATCAGCTTCCTTCCTTGCATTTTATCTGCACTTTTGTCTTGCTTAACAAATCATCACAGTTTATTGCGTGTATGATGATTTAGGTATGCAGGCTAAAATAAAGAAGCAAACTTTGGACATCGAACATGACTTGGCTTATCGTCTACATCTACATGAAAATATTCGCTATTCTATCCCCTTAATCTGTTGCTGTAAGACCATCCCCCTTCTATGTAATGCATATTGAAGAATATTTCATTGGAAAGGACAATTAATTTCCAGCTTAAGAACCAAAAATTCTGCAATGCAACGATCATCTGTTTAACACTTTGCTTTCTTCTCCATCAGTCTCTACCTAGTCCTGAATTTCCAACCCGCTTTAATTATACTTGGGTGCTATTTAGACAAACGCAGACCTCTGGCCAGTGGACTGGCTGCCGCTGGAAGTCCAGTCTTTCTGTCAGCTCTCTCTCTACTGGGACAAGTGCTACTGGATCCCCTTGGCTGGAGAGGTGGCTTCCTCATCATGGGGGCCTGCTGTTTAACTGCTGTACCTGTGGAGCAGTTATGAGACCACTGGGGTGCAAAGTTAATAAGACTGCAGCCAGGGTAAAGGTGAACACTCAAGCTAAAAGAGATGCTCCCATCAAAGACTGGTCACAAGAACAGCAGTCTAGAGAAAGCTAATAAGACAAGCCGTCGAAAAGCAGCTTCTTGACTTCAGTGTGCTCCGTGATGAGGAACTTATCATTAACTGTGCCAAATTCACAGTCGTCCTTGGTCTATTTTTTTCTATGATTCTCTTGGTCAACTATGCAAAAGATCAAGGAGTGCCTGACCAGGATGCTGCCTTCTTGCTCTCCATTATCAGATACATTGACATCTTTGCTCGCCCTACATGTGGCATAGTGGGTGGCCTAAATTGGCTTTGACACAAGATGCACCTTTTTTTCAGCTTGGCCTTGCTTTTTAATGGCTTCAAAGATGTTTGCTCAGCCAGAAGTACAGACTAGAAAGGACTAGTCATCTTCTGTGTGTTCTTTGGTCTTTCTTATGGTATGGTGGGTGCTCTGCAATTTGAAGTGTTGATGAGTATTACAGGAACTGGCACATTTTCCAGTGCCCTTGGTCTGGTTTTCCTTGAATCAGTAGCTGTGCTCATTGGACCTCCTTCTGCTGGTAAGTTATACTATAGTGAATGTATTCAATCTCAGAATTAATATAGCCATATTTTCACATATCATATAAAAGTGAATATCATAAATATTGTGAATATTGAAATATTGTTGTTCTTGTAAGACAAGCTTGCATCTCTGAAATGGAAAGCTTAACGGAAGAATGAGAAAATGTTCTTAACCTTAAATGCATGTTAATATAGATATTATTGAAATAATGGCAATTCATTTTTGACCATTTGCAATGGTCCAGTCATTGTGAAACAATGTCACACAATGTAAAGGGCAGCTGCTATTTTTGAGGCACATGGTGTAAAAAAAGTTCTGACATGACTTACAATTTGAGGACATTAGATGTTACTAAGAAATGTTTTTCTTTCTTCTTCCTTTATGGCTATGTTTACTGGTATATTGTGTTCTACCCCATATACTACATTTATGCAGGGCATTAAGTGGATGCTTACAAGAACTATGAGGTGATTTTCTACATGGCTGGTGGAGTTCACTGCTGGCACGTTCCTTGCTGCTGCATCCTACTGTTGCCTAAAGAGACAGAGGAACAAGGAACGAGGAACAAGCCTGCCTTCAGGACTCTGAAATTGAGGGCAACCATAACCATATTAATCATGAATCCAACTATGCCATGAACGAGACTGATAGAGCTGAAAATAATGAAAAAAAACTTTGTCAGTATGTGATATTTATAATTTTATTTACCATCTAAATCAAATGTTTTTGTCTGTTGCCTCTGTTTGTATCATGTTAACCTATAAGTAACATAACAACATGCTACTTAAGTGACAAAACTCAACCTATAATTAACAGCAGAGCATGCTACTTAAATGACAAATCTTAACCTATAAGTAATAAAGCAGCACGCTACTTAAATGACAAAACTTAACCTTTAAGTAACAGAACAGCAGGCTTCTAAAATAACAAAACTTAACCTTTACATGTATTATTAAAACTATGATTTTTTTAATATCAGGTGCTAATCACACAATCAGGGATCTGTAGACCCATACATGTTTTATATATAAATATTTTCTTTTTAGTTCTCATTAAACATATCTGACTTTGAATAAGAACAGTTTTCTCCAACCTTCATCCTAGAAGGCTATGTTCCTGCAGAGTTTAGTTCCAACCTCTATCCAATAAGCTGCTCCACCCCTTATGTTAACTCTAATACATCTGATCCAGCCAATCAGGGACATGAGGGTTAATTAGCTAGAGCAGGTGTGGCAAATTGTTGTTGGAACTAGTCTCTGCAGGCAGATAGCTCTCCAGGACCGGGGCTGGAGACCAATGAGTTAGAATAATGAGTTTATTGTAATGTAGACATTACAATAAACTAACCCTAACCCTGTTGCTATGAAAACCCTGCATTTAGATTTATTACTGACTCTTCTATATGTTAATTTTCTAATATAGATTTATTTATCACATTTACAAGTCATCAAATGTATTCTATTTAGAAAAATAAAAGAAAACAGTTAACTCTAGTTTATAAATAATCATGTGCATTTCTCATTTTTATTTGTTGTCTTGAATATTATTTTTGGATGTCATTTTTCTCATTCAGAAACAGCCAAGAAATGAAAAGCAAAAACAATAAGATCCGCCTTTTACAACTATAAGCCATTTTATTGGCTATATTTTGCTGTCGTCAGTTCGAGACTGTGTTTTAATTGGTGAAAATCAGCGTCCGTCAATTATCATCATTTTGATTGGCTATTGCTTTAGGTTCCCTGCGTATTCAACGTGACTCGCGCAGGAAGCAGCAACGTTGTTCTCCGAGCGGTACAGCAGTCAAGGGCCTCAGGAAACGAAATTAATTATCTTATTAAAACAGTTGTTAAAACACTATCTAGAGACACACATTTTTCGCAGTTGCATCACTCAAACGTTGTCGAACAACTTTTACAATGCCTAGAGGAGGTAAGTGGCTATGATGCTCCTGTAGTTGTGTGTTGGCTGGAGTGAAACACGACGCTAACGCGAACCTCACAAGAACTCAAACATGTTAGGTTAACGTGCTGCTCACTGGTGATCAGGTGATTTGCCTTTAGATGGGAGCTCGACAGAGAATGAACTCGGTAATCGGCGACAAAACAGTAATGAGGCAAACCAAAGGAAACCAAACTAACTGACCTGGGCTGCGTTCCTCAAAAGCATCTTTGCACAAAAGGATTCTTAAATGGTAGAGCGAACATCACAGTGATCATCCTACCTACCAAGTTAGGAAGACCTTAACATTAAAATGCATTTGGAAACGGGTACGGAACCGCTTTGTTCTCCGTGTATTGCGTCCGTTATTATAGTATTATTGAAGAGTTGCTGTTCGCGTCATTATGCTTTAACGCTGATGCTAGCGTTGAGATATATGAACTTACATGTGCTTATGGAGAAACGAGTTAGGCAAGAAACCTGTACTTTCAGTCACCAGCGTTAGATCAGTAGCGTAGCGTCTTCTACGCCATCTGAATAGCAATTCGTGTTGGATGAAGAGGAGATGGATGAGCTAACCTAGAGTAATGCTCATGCTCCTATATATCTTGAAAACGTAAATACGGACAGCTTTGTATTTGACTATAGTCTTCCTTGTGTTGGGCTTCCCGTTAGTTAGGCTAGCCAAGTTAGACTATGGCCCCCAGCCGCCAAGCTGCGCATGCGTGAAATAGTTTTAAACTATTGTTCGATGCTACTTTCGTTGTATGCGCCGGGGTAGCTCTAAGCTGCTATTTCTAATCCATACCTAAATCGACGTGTGTGTATGTATGTATGTATGTATGTATGTATATATATATATATATATATATATATATATATATATATGTATATATATATATATATATATATATATGGCCTATATAAATATATAATGTATGTGTGTATAAATGTATACATGTGTGTGTGTGCATACATATAGGCCAACCCCTGTAAAACAATCCCATAGTATTATCCCTCTTCTACCAAACTTTACTGCGTAGTGCAGTCAGGCATTCTCCTGGCATTTGCCAAACCCAGATTTGTCCATCAGACTGCCAGATAGAGAAGCTTGATTTAGCACACAGAATACGTTTCCGCTGTTCCAGAGTCCAGTGATGGCGAGCTTTACACCACAGATATATGTGTGTGTGTATGTGTGCTATGGATGCTGTGCAAAATAAAATAAAATTTAGATTGAAAATAGTACAAAAACATGTCAAATGTTAAAACTGAGGAATTGTGTTGTCTTTTGAAAAATACATGCTCATTTTGAATTTCATGCCAGCAACATGTTTCAGAAAACTTGGGACAGGGCTGTGTTTACCACTGTGTTACACTGCCTCTTCTTTTAACATCACTCTGTAAGCATTTAGGAACTGAGGAGGCCTATTGGACTGCAGGCAGGCCAGTTAACTCCTGGACTCTTTTACTGTCTGCTGTTATAATACATGCACAATGTGGTTTGGCATTGTCTTGCTAAAATAAGCAAGGCCTTTCTAGAAAAAGACATCATCTGGATGGCAACATATGTTGCTTCAAAACCTGTATATATCGTTTAGCATTAATGTTGCCTTCACAGCTGTGCACCAATCCATAGATGCTGGCTTTCAAATTGTATGCTGATAAGCTGGATGGTCCCTCTCCTCTTTAGCCTCTTTGTATTATTTTATATTCAATATAGTGTTTCAATAATTAGCACATCATTGCATTCTGTTATTATGGTTGTACGTATATAGATATAATATATATAGATACTTTGTGTGTGTGTGTGTGTGAAATTATAGCACCTAAGTTAAAGTCTTTAGGGCTCTTTGTAAGTGTTTACAATCTAATGCATGCCCCCAATTAGTTTTTGCTGAGTATCCACACTGCACATTGACATTTTTTTCTATGTAACTTATGTGTCCTTAGGAAAAAAAGGCCACAAAGGTCGTGGCAAACAGTTCAGCAATCCTGAGGAAATCGACAGACAGATGCGAGCACAGAGGGAGAGGGTGAATATCTGTGTTAATTATTGTGGGTCCTCAGCTGCACAAAACCTCTCAGACAGAGGTGTTCATGTACAGACACAATCCTTGAAGGGTAAACTTTTCATTTTGTAGGAGGAAAATGGTGATGCTGAACGTAAAAGTTCATCGGAATCTGAGGAGGAAAGCAGCAGTGAAGATGAACAGGTACATATAACACAAGAACAGCTAATAAAAAAGCAGGACGAATAATTGTTCCTTACACGTTATGTATTATCTTTTAAATTGCTTTAAATGTGCTTATATTCAAAGAACCAGAAAAGGAGTGGCGTGGAAGGATTGATTGAGATTGAGAATCCCAATCGTGTCTCCCAGAAGAACAAAAAAATTGCTGAAATAGATATTGGCATGCCAAGAGAGCTCTCACGTAGAGAGAGGTATGTGGAAATACCTGGTTTCACAGAGAGTAAAGTTTTGGTATTGAATATGTTTTGTTTGAACTTGTTTATTTGTTGGATAATTTACTTCTTGTATAATGAAAATTATTAATGAATGTGTGTCTTGGTGGGAGGGAGGAGATTGAGAGGCAGAAAGCAAAGGAGCGCTACATGAAGCTGCATCTAGAGGGGAAGACTGAGCAAGCCAGGGCAGATTTGGCTAGACTGGCCATCATTAAGAAACAAAGAGAAGAGGCAGCAAAAAAGAGAGAGGAAATGAGAAAAGGTGAGTCCATTAATTCAGTTTTCATTCTCTTTCTGTATGAATTTTGTGTAATAGTGTACGTCATAGACATAATCCTTATTTATTTTACTTAATTACACCTTGTACTATATTAACTATATTTAAGTGAAACAGTAATGTGACATGTTAATGTAATTTGGCATGCATTATTTTAGCTAAAATAATTGACTTTTGTTGGATTACATCAGGGGATGGGAACTGAAAGCCAGAGACCTGCACAGTTTGATGATTTCCCTACTCAGACGCACCTAGCAATTAATTGAATCAGGTGTGTTTGAGCATGGACATTGCCTGTGCAGGAATCTGGCCCTCCTCTGGATTACATAAATACCTAGATCGGGGTGCCCAGTCATGGCCCTGGGAAGCTACCACCCTGCAGTGTTTATCTCCAACCCTAATTTAACACACGATTCGGGAAATGAAGGCCTTCAGGAGTGTCCGAGTATTAGAGCAGGTTGTGTTGGACCTGAACTCTCCAGGGTGATAGAGCCTTCAAAACCAGAATTGGAAACTCCTGACCTAGATTTATCAAATCATGATGGCAGAATTGTTATTTCTAATTTTAATCCATCACAGAAAAAGAAGCACAGGAGACCAGACGCTAGCCTCTTTCCCATCTTTGAGGACAGGGCTGTCCTGGGGCAGGCAGGTGGGCAGGGACCAAATTAATTAGGGATACAGCTCAGGGGTATCCACACACACACACACACACACACACACACACACACACACACACACACACCCCCCTTCACTGTGCTCTGATCCTAAAGCTGCTGGAGTTTACTCCTAAATTATTTTTTTTTATATGTTATAATATACCTTTTGATTGGGATATGCTCCAAGCGTTCAGCAAGTTGTGTTCTTGCTGACATCTCTTAGCCGGTTCCAAAGGAGTGGCATAGAGTAGTGAATGGAGAAACACTAGCAAACCTGTGGCACCTGTAAAACACCATCTGCTCCTGTTCTGGCCTGTGCCCATTTTTCTTTTTTCTTTTTTTTTTCTTTTTTTTATATTCTTAAATGCATAAGCTATGTATAATACGATACCTTGTAAATTAACCTGTGCTGAATAATTCTTTTTTTTGCATGCCAGTTACTTGATGCATCAAAATTCATTTTGCTGATTCACAGACGGTTACCACATGAGGTTACGCCATTAAACAGTAATTGAATAATTTAATATCAGCAGTATTAAGTGACTGGTCTCTTGTAATGTTAGCAGTAAACAAACATTTAAACAGAGGAAAAGTTTCCCTTTTATCTGAAAATTGCCATTATTTATTCATGACCAATTCATAGGTTTGTCTCATTAATAAATATTGTATGCTGTTTGTGCTGTTGTGTACAGTCTGTTTGTGGGACCCAAATTGCCTTGAACATTAAGAGAAGCAATACTACACATGCAGGTGATGCAACATTTAGCTCAGCTCTAAAATGTATACGTTTTGAAAAGTGTTTGAAGACTTAAGGTGCTGTCCAGGACTGAAATAAGTATTTACATTATAAGGTATTGGTAGGAGGGATATGTGTTTGTATCCTAACTTGATTTGTTGCATAGAAATAAATACTTCAGTACATTAACTTTTTGTCCATGGACTTTGTCACAAATTTTAATAAACATGTGTGCCATGGTTTTGCAGTATACAGTTTCTGGTCACTTTATTGGAAACCTCTACTTTGTATGTTCATCTTTCTGGTGCATGGTTCAAGACTATAGCCAATTTGTTGATGCACAATTTGTTAGTCATCATCTAGGCTGCAGGTTCTAAAAACATTCCCTCAAGGGAAGACGGATAAACATATACATTGTGGAAGCACTTTATTGTAAGGGTACACGATTTTACAGTAATTAAGGTATTTGCTAATGAAAAATTAATTAGAAAATAGTCATTAATCAGGAACAAATAAATGTCATTAACAACTGTAAGTCCTCAACATTAACTAATGCATGTAGTAATGAATGGAGATGAAGGTAATAAAGGCTTAAATGTCTGATTGATCAGGAATTAATATGTTCATTAAAGAACCTCTCCAGGCATTGATTAAACCCCTAAAAAATCTCTGTTCAGCAAAATTACATATTTTGAGATTTTCAAGATGTAATTCTACACCTTTTACCACTGCTAACATTACACTGAATGCAGTTTGTGCTTTAAAGTTGTTGCTACAGCCACTTTCGGAGGAACAGTTCATTTTCTCCTTCAAAAACTGTCAGCATCTGAAAGAGCGAGTGCTTGGCAACAGGGATGGGGGAGTAGCTAAGTAGTGTGCTACTTTTTTGTAGCTAACTGCAAATTTTTGTAGCTAATAGCTGTAGCCGCTACAGTTTTATGAAATGTAGCTAATAGCTGTAGCGCCTACAATTTTTTGTGTAGCTATAGCGATAATTTTCGCTACAATTTCGCTACAGACTTCAGGCACTCCGCGCAAAATTTAAACCACAGAACGCAGACAGTTCGAGCAAACAGTCACACGCTGGTCCCACGCGCTGATCACTCCTTAGTAGGCTTAACTGGGGGTCGGCAACCGAAATGTTGAGCCATTTTGTCCTTTCAACAAAAATTAAACCACCTTGGGAGCCACAAAATTGTATGTCCATTTTACCATCATGGCTGTAAATACGTCTCAGTATGTGCTAATGTGCTAGTACAGACTAAAAATATAAACGAAAACGCAGACTTACTTTGCTCTGATTTAAACTTTAGGTCAGCTGTAGTCGCTTTTCTTGTACCTCAGTCAGGAAACTCGCAAAAGCGTTCTAAAATGTCTCTCAACTTTTGACTTTTTACGAGGCTGAAGTCGCTTCTCATTCACCAGCTTCTTGTTCGAATTGTCCCGTTCCACCTTAAATGTACTGAAGTACTGCTGTGCCATTTAAGGTGGAAGGGGAAAATTTGAACGAGAAGCTGGCAAAAGAGAAGCTGCAGCCTTGCGACTTAGTGTTTGACAGTTTCTCGTTGCAGATTAAACATATCAGGAAACCTGCTGGAGTGCTTTTATATGCAGATAAGTCTGTTCATCTCCAAATTACTGATGTTCGTCATAAATCTCTCTGTTTGCCATTTTGTTAGCTATTAGCTAGGCAAGATTGTTGTTATCTGCATTGCTATGGTGACCAGCCGTCTGCACGTTAATCTTCAGCATTAAAGGTTGGTGAATTAGCAGTTATGCGTTTGTTTGGTGTGGTTTGTATACAGTAATTTTTGTTGATTTTTGTTAGGAAAACCCTGGAATGATTGACTTTGCCTTTACTTAGTCTAAATTTTGTTGGATATCACGCCTTTGGTTGTGTAAGTTTGATTTGTTGGTTACACTTAACCTTTTTGGTGTATTTGTTTTTGTATATTTGCAGCTTTTAAGTGGCACGTGATTAAATGCAGTGTCTTGTTCACAGTTGGGCTTGTTTGGTGTGTCAGGTGGAGATACACAAACATTCTGACAAATCATTCAATTTCAAGCTGGGCAATTATGACAAAGATAAAGTGACGCACCTTTCTGTGGTGCCCCGAAGGGATACGAACGACTATATTTCTGAGATTAGAAACCCATAAGGCAGGGGTGTCAAACTCAACCACTGAAAGAGCCATATAAAAAATGTCAACAAATCTGTGTTTTTATTTTATTTTATTTTTACATAGAACGTAACAGGAGAATGCCACCTGCCAGGAAAGGCACCCCCTCTTAGGTATCATATATTGGTCTCAAATATGTATTACTAATACATATATATATATATATATATATATATATATATATATATATATATATATATATAGAGAGAGAGAGAGAGATATAGATATATAGATATATAATGTGTATGTGTGTGTGTATTAGTTCTGTCCACAAAAAAAATAAAGCACCTTTTTATCCAGTCCATGTGCCATAAAATGCATCCCCTCTTGAATCTAGCTGTAAAATTGTAATATATGTATATTTGTACATAATATTTTGGTTCCTTTTTATTCAGTCTAATATTTAAAGATTTATATTTACATTTACAACATTTAGCAGATGCTCTTATCCAAAGCGACTTACAAAAAATTCTTTGTTGTCTACTCAGAAAAAGTATCTTTGCTAGTTACAAATAGGTTAAAGAGAAATCTAGTCCTGAGGTCAGATGTTGCTAGAAACAAAAGCCCAGAATTAAACATAGTGCAAAACAATACATTTCTATAAGTTCTTAGCTTAGTGCTCACTTAAGTGCTGTAAAAAGAGATGCGTCTTCAGTGTGCGTTTGAAGACCACAAGGGACTCTGCTGTTCGGACAACCAGTGGGAGCCACATGGGTGTACTCGAAGTTCGAAGGGCTCGATGTACAGTTTGAGTTTTGACCATTGCCATTAGGTAGGGAGGGGCTGGTCCGTTTTTGGCTTTGGCTGGTTTTTGGAATTGTCCTTAAAAAAATATATGGTGTTCACCATATATTTTTTCTTTTTCCACCATTTTATAAGCTTTTCTTACAGCCCTGGATATACATTTTCCTGCAGTGTGACATCACATTACAGTTAAATAAAAAAACAATGCATAATAATAATTTTACATATCTATACTTGTATTCAAAATTTAAAGATCTCTTTATGCAAACTTTAATTAATACATTGCATATGTGCATTATTTATAGTTGTTTTTCAATTCCATTCTTTATTTGTAGCCTTTATCGCTCGCACTAGTTGAACTATCTTATAAAATGATAACATTCTGGTGAATTCTCCATTTTCTTTTTATAGTTAAATTATGCAATGTTTTAGAAAACACAATGATTGAATTAACTGAACCCTCATAAAAGCCATTTAATTTCGTTTGAAATGATGTCACTGAACAGGACAAGATGAGACACTATAGAAGTATTATTAGTAAAAAATGCGTAATAAATGCCTTTAGAACAATGATTCATTTGCATAAATTATCTGAACATGGGACGAAATATTAAAATTCATTATAGTCTTTGTTCTAATATATGAATTTGGACAAAAAAAAGATGACTGATTAAAACTTAACATTTTGGAGCGTTCCTTTTTTTCACAGTAGATAAAGGTAAACAAGACACTAAAATGAATGACATTTTGGACACAATGTTTTAACTTAAAAGATTTAGGACTGTCATGAACACGACATTTTAACAACATTTTAAGGAAGTTTTTAAAATAACTGACAATTTTTTTCTGATTGCTTTTGTTTCAGCATCCAGCTTTGCTGTAAGCTTCTTGTTTTCTCTTTCCAGCTTCTTTATTTTAGATCTTAACTTAGTTTGGGGAGTTTTCCTGTGATGACTATTGCTTTGTAGATGTACTGTGGGAAGGTTAGTAGCTGGAAAACTCTGGGCTGGAGGACTAGTAGCTGACAGAATGGCAGCTTGTGGATCTTGAATTGGAGAATGAGTAGATTGGGAACCATGAGCAGGAGTACCACAAGCTGGATTAAAAGCACCCTCATATTTGTGAGGCATATCTGGACCTTCAGGTGATGGGGGAGTTAAGTTTAAAATGGCTGCCAGATCCTTCTTTCTCTTCCTGCCCCTTGCCTTTGTCTTCCTCCATCATCCAAAGCTTATCTCTTTTTTGTTTCGATAGACAATTTATATTTCATGGTTAAATTTCCCCTTTTGCCTTCTTTTCATGATATCTGTTGATAAAGACAGTTGTTACATGTATTCCCAACAAAATTTATTATTTTCAGTATTAAAGAAGGCTTCACTAACTGTCTCTGTCTTTCCCTATAATAGCTTATTTACTTTCTTCTTCTTTCCCTAAGGATCTTCTCACGCCTATCTTCATCCTGGTTTAACCTTTCCCTGCATGACTAGTAACACAACTAACTTATGTATGTCACACAGCGGGATAATATTGTCACACAACAGGACAGTTACACCATTGTGTCCATTTTGAATCCTTGTCATACATAACAGACCTTGAGCATTTTGCTAACTGAGTGAATATGCTGTTTTTAACTTTATTTAGTGATTTTTAAAATTTTATATTTTAAATTTCTCAAAGTAGAGCTGTCACACCACAGGACTAACAAAAATGGACATGTTAATCGTTTGACAAAGTATGAACGGCCAAACATCTAAGGGACCTTCTGGTTCGTGTTTGACAAAAAGACCCCTAAAGTTGTCATCAAACAGGCTTTTTAAAAACCTGATCATCCGTGTCACATCACAGGACAGCATTTTCATTACAAAACTTAATTTACTGTAATTATTATTGTGGGAGTCTTGTGCTTTTAAAAACCTTATATTGGTAAATAAAATATGTATAAAATAGTACCAAAAGCATTTATAAACAGTTCTAGGTGATAGTGACTTTTTATAAATGTTTATATTTCATACTTCATTTATTTTACCCTCACACCACATGACATTTTGAATGTTTACCTTACAATAAAAAAACATAATCTTTCTAAAAGTAGAACAGTTACATAAAACATTATTTTGCATTACTGAAACAAGTTTTTGGAGGAAAAACGAATCTTAATAAATTATTTTACTTGATTACGCTAAAATCAGGTGTCATGTCACCCACCCATGTACCAAAGAATCCCCAAGTTCTTTGCCAATTTACATTATGAAACATTCTTGAATT